CTGATCTTCCCATCCCCCACCCCACCCTGTCCCCAGTCCATCCATAAAATCTATTCTATTTCTCCCTGACAGTGATATTTATGTATCCCCTCTAGTCCCTTCCTCTATGCCTAACCTCTTTGGATTTATAGGCTATAACTTGGTTATCATTTATTTAACAGCTAATAATGTTTTTTAACAGCTGAGTAATACTCCATTGTGTAAATGAACCACATTTTCTTTATCCATTCTTCTGTTGACAGAGCTAGGTTGATTCCAATTTCTGGCTATTATGAATAGAGCAGCAATAAACATGGTTGAGCAAGTGTCCTAGTGGTGTGATGAATTATACTTTGGGCATATGTCCAGGAGTGGTATAGCTGGGTCTTGTGGTAGGTTGAGTCCCAATTTTCTGAGGAACCACCATATTGATTTTCATAGTGGCTGTACAAGTTTGCATTCCCATCATCAATGGAGGAGTATTCCACTTGCTCCATAGTCTCATCAGCATGAGCTGTCACTTATTTTACTGATCTTAGTGACAGGTGTAACATGAAATCACTAGGTAAGCACTCTATCATTGAGCTATGTCCTTAGCCACCATAATTTAGCCATAAAGAAGAATGAAAGCATGTTTGCAGGAATATGGGTAGAACTAGAGACCTTCATGTTACATGAAGCCAGATTTAGAAAAACAAGAATCTTTTTCTTTTCTTTTCTTTCATGTACAGAATCTAGATTTAAGGAGAGGAGAAAAATTCATGAAACTAGAAAGGTACCTCTTTGGGAATAATGGAAAGCAGGAAAGGGATAGGAAGAGGTAATGGGGCCTGGATATGATCAAAGTATATTACACACATGTATAAAATGACATAAGTAAACATGTTACTTTATATAATTACTATATACCAATAAACTTAAAACAATTACTCCGAGCCTGATTGCTCAGGTCTGGGATCTCAGCTGCTCAGGAAGCTGAGGTGGGAGGATCACAAGTTTAAGGTCAGCTTGGGTTACCTACTGAGCAAAACCCTGCCTCAAAATAAAAACGCTTAAAATAGGGGGCTGGAGAGATGGCTCAGAGGTTAAGAGCACTGCTTACTCTTCCAAAGGTCCTGAGTTCAATTCCCAGCAACCACATGGTGGCTCACAGCCATCTGTAATGAGATCTGGTGCCCTCTTTTGGGTTGCAGGGATACATGCAGACAGAACACTGTATACATAATAAAAAAAAAACAAAAAAAAACAAAAAAAAACAAAAAAAAAAAAAAACGCTTAAAAGAGAAGCATCAAACACCTGCAATCCCAACAGTTTTTAGTTTGAGGAAGGAGAACTGATAGGAGTTCAAGGCCAACCTGGGCTACATAGTAAGTATGAACCCGTCAGGGCTACATAGCAAGATCTGTGTCAAAAAACAAGCGAATGCAATACCATATGATATTTATACTAACATGTGTTTGGCCTTTTCTTTGTGTGTATGTGTAGGGGGGCAGGGCAGACAGACAGAGAGACTGAGGGAAGGTCTCATGTGGCTCAGGCTGTTCTAGAACCAAGTGTGTACTCAAGGATGGCCTTGAACACCTGATTCTTCTGCCTTCACTTCCAACCACTAGAATTACAGACACATAGATCATTCCTACCCCCCACTCCACTGTGGTAGTGCATATGTGCCACTACACCCAGATTTTGAATGATGCTGAGGCTCTGAACTCGGGTCCTTAAGATTATAGAGAAAGAACTTTACCCATGGAGCTACATTCCAGCCCAAGAAAAATACTCTTACTCTGACAATCAAAAAAGATCCATCCTTGACATGATGGCACAGCCCTGTAATTCTAGCACTCAGGAGATGGAGGCAAGAGTGTCAGGAGTTGGAGGCTAGCCCAGGATACATGATGAGACACAATGTTTGATTGTGCACTCATCTCCTTAGGGATGAGGACTTTAGCTCATTCCCTTAAGTTTGTCATTCCTTCAGAAGAAGGCCCCACACATAATAAAACACCATTTTCCCTCTTCTCAAGATAGCCAATTTTAGGCCAGGGGGTGGTGGTGGAGGTGGCGGTGGCGGCGGCGGCGGCGGCGGCGGCGGCGGCGGCGGCGGCGGCGGCGGCGGCGGCGGCGGCGGCGCATGCACACCTTTAATCTCAGCATTCGGGAGGCAGAGGCAGGCGGATCTCAGTGAGTTCAAGGCCAGCCTGGTCTCCAAAGTTCCAGGAAAGGCGCAAAGCTACACAGAGAAACCCTGTCTCGAAAAAACAGAAACAACAACAACAACAGAAAAAAAGATTGACAATTTTGATTATTTGTTTGTTTATTTTGGTTTTTCGAAACGGGTTTTTCTGTGTAACAGCCCTGGCTGTTCTAGAACTTGCTCTGTAGACCAAGGTGGCCTCAAACTCACAGAGATCCTCCTGCCTCTGCCTCCCAGTGCTGGGATTAAAGGTGTGCCCCACCATTGCCCAGCTCAGTTTTGATTATTTTTGTAGCTCTAGAGAGTCCAAAAATTCCCCCTATGATATATTTAGGATACAGAAAAAGGGGGCTGGTGAGTTGCCTCATCAAGGAAAAGTGTTTATTAGCAAGCCTAGCAATTTGGGTTTGAGCCCTGGTAGAGAGAACTAACTCCCTCAAACTGTCCTCTGACTTATGTTTCTTTTTCAAACACACACACACACACACACACACACACACACACACACACACACACACACGTTAAAAAGTTAAGAAAAGCTGAGTGTAGAGACACATGCTTTTAATCCCAGCATTTAGGAAGCAGAAGCAAAGATATTGCTATGAGTTTGTGGCCAGCATGGTCTACACAGTGAACTCTAGGCCAGCCAAAGCTCTACTGTGAAACCCAGTCTCAACTCTGCCTCCCACCAGCACAAAAGAAGAAGAAGAAGAAGGAGAAGAAGAAGAAGAAGAAGAAGAAAGTTAGATTTCTGCTATGCATAGGTGAGTTCTTTCAGAGACAGATTGTGTAGCTGAGGAGAAATTCCCTGATCCTTTTACCTCTACCTCCCAAGTGCTGGTACTCCAGGCAAGGCACTCCACTAGGCCTGACTCTTCCTGATATAAATATATCAGAGAAAAATATATTCTAATTTTTATGTGTGTATATATATAATCTTTTAGTTTTTTAAACAGGGTCTTTCTATGTAGCTCTGGCTATGCTGGAACTTGATGTATATCAGGCTGGCCTTGAACTCAGAGATCCACCTGCCTCTGCCTCTCAAGTGTTGAGATTAAAGGTGTGCGCCACCACACCTGGCTTGTTTTGTGGAGACAAAAATGGTATAGCTCTGACTGGCCTGGTATTCATTATGTAGCTCAGGTTGGTCTGGAACTCACAGCAGTCCTAGTGCCTCAGACTTGCAAAGTATTAGGATTACAGATTTGTGTTGACTAGATTTTTCTAAAGAGATGCTTGGAGGTGTGGAAAAGAGTCTGTGTGGGGAAGGGGGTTGGTTTTGACTTTAATCGTTCAGCTTTTTAGATTAGACCAGAAACACCAAAGATCAGAGTAGGTAACTCACCAAGACTGTAGCGGGATCTAACTCCATTTATACACTCAACACTTGTGCTGCAAGTGCCTGAGACCAAACAGCAGAAAATGAAGTCAGTTTAAGAGGTCAAGAGCCAGGTGTGACGGTCCCTGCCTTTAATCCCACCCAACACTGGGGAGGCAGAGGCTGGCGGATCTCTGAGTTTAAGCTTGGGGCAGGAGAATTTAAATCTCTATGGAAGGAATGTGGGTGGTACAAGTGTAAATGAGGGAAGATTTCATCTGAGGGGTGGATTTCAAATCCTTCATTGGTTGAGGACTCGTCAATATTGTTTTTTCCTTTTGTGACAGGATCCTGCTAAGTCAGTTTGAGTTGGAACTGGGGGTCCTTCTTCAGCCTTCTGAGTGCCGGGATACAGGTGTGTGCCACTATGCTTAACTGACCATAATTCTTGAAAAGGGAATGCTTCTAAAATAATAAGGGATCTTCATAGGGAAAAGTTAGAGGTTCTGGTGGATTGTTCAGAAGCAGCAGCCATGTCGAGCTTGGAATCGCTAGTTTCATGTTTGCTAGGCAAGCACTCTTACTGAGCCTGGCACTGGGCCGACTTATTATTCTTTGTTGTTTTAACGGTTTTTTTGAGACAGGGTTTCATTATGTAGCCCTAGTTGGCCTGGAATTCATCTGCCTGCCTCTGCATACTCCGGGTTGGAAGTAAAGGTGTGGGCCATGCTTAGAGGCACACGGAACGATTAAAGAGACCCAACTTCTTTAAGGGTTTACTGTCGTTTCCCCTCACCTGTGACACACAGGACCACGCTCACCCTCAACACCTGGGGTCTAATTGAAGAAAGCAGATTCTAGGCAGTGGCCGGAATCGGTGGAATCACAAGGCCGAAGGGCGGTACTTTAAAATCTGCACATCAATACCGCCCATTTCCAGGCCTTTGTTATGCACGCCATTGGCCTCTTTGAACTAACACTTTTTCCTTTGCAGAGAAATGTACTGCAACTAGTCCTCATCTCAGAGGAAAACTGAGAGGGAATAAATTTGCTCAGGTCACACAGACCAGCGCTTCAAAGTAGGCATGCGGGAGATGCACCCCTGACTTAACCCCTGGGCTGGGGCATGGGTTTTAGAGCTAGAAAGCTCGGCTCGCAAAGCTCAAGGACCTCCAGGAAACAAAAACCCACCAACAAAACCCAAGCCTTCACAGCCTGCCATTGACGCTCCATCCAATGGCTTGCTCATTTTAGAAGCCCTGGACTTGGGAGTTTGCAAACTTGGTCGGAGGAGCGCAGGACCGAGTCAGGTGGAGTCGGGCGCCCCTTTACAGCCCCCAAGTGTCTAGCCCCCGCCCGCGGCCACAGCCCCCCACCTGAAGGTGACCCGGGGGGCGGGGGGCGGGCAGCAGGCCATCGAGCCGCCCGGCGCGCCGCCGCCCGTTGGATTGGCTCGAGCCTCTCCCGCCAGGCCTGCCCGGCTCCCGCGCGCCGCTGGGCCCGCCCCCCGCCGCCATCTTGGTCGTGGAGGAGCGGGCGGCACGCGTGAGTAAATAGCGCGAGCCGGGAGCGGACGGCGGGCCCGGGGCGGAGAAGCGGCGGAGCGGGCTTCCCGCGCGTGGGGTGAGGAGCGGGAAGTCTGCGGCCGGCGCTGCCTCTGCCCCCTCGCGGCCGGCGCTCCCTGGGAAGCGGCGGCGGGAACCGGGTGGGCGAGCGGGCGAGCTAGGGAGCGAGCGAGCGAGCGGGCGGGCGGGCGGGCGGGCGGCCTGCGAGCGCGCGGCCCGGCGTGCAGGTGAGGGCGCCGCGCGGGCCGTGCCACCGGTCACCGGTGTCTTCCGGCCTCACCCCAGGGTGGCCGACATGACGGCCGCAGGTCGCAGCCCCCTGGAGCCGCTTCTGGAGACTTGGGAAGACCCCTCGGTGTCTCCCGGAGAGCAGACGGACGCCTACCTAACTCTGACCAGGTGAGGCCGCCCGGGGGACGAGCCGGGGCGGGAGACGGGCGCATGGGGGGGGGGAGCGGGGGGGGCCGCGGCGGCGGGCAGCTTGGGGCGCACCGGGCCATGCCTGCAAAGTGACGTTGCGAGGCGCCGCGGCGGCGTCCCAGGGCTGCTTCGGGGAAGAGCCGTTTTTTTTTTTGTTTTGTTGTTTTGTGTGTTTGCCTAGCAAACGGGAGCTCTGTCGAAAAGTTTGGAGCTGGAAGTAGTTGGGAGAGCAGCGGTTCTCGCTGCAAACCTCCGACGTGGTGGGATAGTTTAGTTAGGGTCAAGGGGTCCCTGCGCTGGCCTCGAACTTAGGATCCTGGGGAAGCCCTCTCGTGCTTGAGATTACAGATTGCAGGTGCGCGAACCATCACATCAGCCCTAGAATTGGCGCCCCCCCCCCCCCCCCCCCCCCCCCCCCCGCTCCCCACGAGACAGGGTTCTCTGTATAGTAGCCTTGGCTCTCCCAGAATTCACGCCGCAGACCAGGCTGGTCTCGAACTCACAGAGATCCGCCTGCCTCTACCTCCCGAGTGCTGGGATTAAAGGCGTGTGCCACCTCGTCGGGCTTTTTTTTTTTTTTTTCCCCTTTAAATAGAGACAGGAACTTGGTTTTTACATTTTTTGAAAGACTTCATAAATTTTCTAAATTTTTGCAAATGACCATACAATTAATAACTATATGACTAGGGAAAGGGGTTCCCATTTCCTTTTCTCAACTAAAAATTCAAAAATTGAATGCAGCCGGGCGGTGGTGGCGCACGCCTTTAATCCCAGCACTCGGGAGGCAGAGCCAGGCGGATCTCTGTGAGTTCGAGGCCAGCCTGGACTACCAAGTGAGTTCCAGGAAAGGCGCAAAGCTACACAGAGAAACCCTGTCTCGAAAAAAAAAAAAACAAAAAAACAAAAAAAAACAAAAATTGAATGCATTGTAGAAACAAAAAAGATTTTGTGCAAGTTATTGCTATTTCTGATGTAGTTTACAATATGTTTTCGATATACTCTTACGCATTTTTAAGGAATGGATTGAGTTTTCAAGGGCTTGAAAGTAAGCTTTAGAAACCTAAAGCTCTGAGTATTGGGAACTAGTGTTTGATGGCTCTAGAACTTGAGCTACAGGTGGTTGTGAGCCACCTGACAGGGGTACTGGGAACTGAACTCAGGTCCTCTGCCAGAATGGCATGTGTTCTTAACCCCCGAATTGTCTCTTCAACCCTGAAAATAATCCTTAAAGAAAGTGATTACAGTACTTTTTTGTTTCTGCTTTTTGCCTAAGCTTATGTTCTATTCCTTTTAAAGTCGTATGACTGGACAAGAAGGAAAAGAAGTCATTACAGAAATTGAGAAAAACCTTCCTCGGCTGTACACAGTTTTAAAGGTCTGTGTGTGTTTTTTTTAATGACTCTAGACAGGGCCTCCCTCTGAAGCTATGGCTGGTCTGGATCTCACTAGATTGAGTCCCTTGGAGTCTTTACTTAGCTTCCCAAATGCTGGGGTTCCAGGTGCAACTCCCGACTAGCTGTCTAGTAAATGATTCTTCGCTTTGGCTATAGCATTACCCAGTGCATTGTTAACACCCTGAATATACAGTATTAGCAGTTATGTTGACAGGATTGCTCTATCTTATCTTGATTACTATGGTTCATCAGGTACTCTTTAATTACCTTATGTGTTCTTGCTTTAATTTTCTATACTCTAGGCCTCCGGCATGCTAGTAAAGTGCTCTGTATGTACCATGCAGCTATATCCACAGCCTGAGTTTGCTCTTTCAGCCCCACTTTTCAGGTTAGGAAATTGGTATGTTTGCTAAAATGTTCAGGGCTTCCTGAATTCAAAGCAAAAAAACAATTGTCACAGATAAAATCTGTTAGCTTTTGGAAGTGTACGAGTATGTTATCCTAAAATGGCACTAGTATGTTATCCTAAAATGGCAGTTATTTTTGGTCTACTCTTGAGATAGATAGCATTCATATACTCATATACATACATATTTTTGTGGGGCAAGGGAGTTGGAGGCAGTTTCCCAGTAAAGCCGTGGCTGGGAACCAGGTAGCTAGCTATGTGACGATCCTCCTGCCTCTGCCTCCCAGATGTTGGGATTATGGGCTGGCACTGGCAAACTCCACAGTACATGTTATTTGTTTTTTTATTCATATTCAATTTTTGATAATTATGCCTGGTTGGAAAATTGTTAACACTTTAGAAAAATAGAGTTGACTTGTTTTCTTTGTTTAATGGTGATAGTTAATATCAGACAGTCTGTAGTCTTAGCCTCAGTTGACCACTTAATGACTTAGTGACATGCCATCAACGTTTTTTAATATTCTTGTTTTTAAAATGAAAAGATTGAACTCATATCCCAACCTTATTGAAATTATTACTATTTTTTTTGACAGGGTCTCTAGTCCAGGCTTGCCTTGGACTTCCTATATAGCTGAGGATGACCTTGAACTTCTGATCCTCCTGCCTCCCAAGTGCTGGGATTACAGGCATGTGCCACCACTTTGCAATTATGCAGTGCTGGGGATTGAACCCAGGGCTTCATGCATGCTAGACAAGTACTATACCAACTGAAAAGTACATCCCTAGCCCCAAATTTCTTGAACATTTTTTTTTAACTTTAAGATTGAGTTAAAATGCTTAATATGTAGTAGATACTTGGGAATTGCTCCGTTGCAACTGCTTCTCTTTCTTAGTCCTAGAGGAAGAAGGCATTACTCATTCTAAAGCTAGGATGTCATCTTGCATTCGAGACTTCGCTTATTTATTGTAGAAGAACCATGCTCACGTTTGTTTCCTGTCTAATAACATCTTTCATTTGTTGGCCTTTTCTTTGTTTTTGCATGGATATGTGGGAGATGTCATTTATCTTTTCTTAAAAATGTTCTTTCAGTTGATTTAAAATTTTTTTTTAAGTATGGGTATTTACCTGCATGTATATCTATGTACCACATGTGTGCAATGACCATAGAAGCCAGAAGAGGGTGTCAGAGCCCCAGGAATTGGAGTTACAGACAGGTTGTGAGCTGCCATGTGGGTACTTGGAACCAAATGTAGATATTCTACAAGAGTAACTGCTGATCTTTCTTTCCAACTCCTGTCAATCTTTTTCTGGTTACCTTCTCCTTTGCCAAACTTCCCTATCTGTTTTCACTTACTCCCCAAAAGTTGGCTGATTGATTAGATTAAAATGCATTGAATTTGGGTTGTAACTGGCTCTGATTCTAGAAATTGTTTCTCTGCTGTGAATGTGATTTTGATTTTTTTGTAGGCTCACATTTCCAGTCAGAACGCAGAATTGAGTAGTGCTGCTCTACAAGCTTTGGGATTTTGCTTATATAATCCCAAAATTACCTCGGGATTATCAGGTAGGTAAAATGATTAAAGCTATTAATACCTGTTGAGTTTAAAGTATAGTTTAATACAGTTAAAGTACTGTTTATGGATTAATTTAATAATTTGTAGTTTAGGACTTTCTCACTTCCCCCCATTTAGGAAGACATTTACTTAGTACATGTGCCCTACACTCAAGGTCAGAGGGCAACTTGCAGGAGTCGTAGCTTCTAAGTGGGTTCTGGATTGAATTTATCATAAGGCTTGATGGCAAGGGCCTTTGCTGGTTCAGTCTCTTATTGGTCCCAGACCTTTTTTTAGTAGGATAAACACACACACACACACACACACACACCCATCCTACTAAAAATTATATGTATAATCTTATATATCCTATAAAAATTGTACATATGTAATTTTATTTCCCTTCTGGTTTTTCAAGAGAAGGTCTCCCTATGTACCTCTGGCTGTCCTAAAACTTGCTTTGTAGACCAGGCTGTCTTCAAACTTAGAGATCCACCTGCCTCCACCTCCTGAGTGCTGGGATCAAAGTTGTGTGCCACCACCACCAGGCTAGAATATATTTTTGAAATCTGAAGTTAACACTAATTTATCTGGTTTATGTGACAGGCGTATTTTCTAAGGAACTGAGTGAGATGACAAGGTCTTAGCAGTGGTCGATGTTAGTTTGGAAGTGGTATTGAAAGCATAGAGCCTGATATTCTCCAAGGGTTAAGTAATACTGTTGCTTTGTAGTTAGTAGTTTGCGATCGTAAAGGAAACCTACAAGATGACTATTAGGAACCGAGAGGTGGGTAATAAGGATATCTTAAAGTCGTTAAAGAGTTGCAGTGTTTTTTCTTTTGTGTAAGACTTGTTAGCATCCTTAGACGACAATAGTTAACTGAGTTGTGTAAGATAAAAGGTTTGCTGTCTGCTGTTGTCTGTTTTCTTTACCGGCTTTTGCTTTAGTCAGGATTTTTTATTTTGGCAAGAAGTGTGTGATACCTGTCAGCATCTCTACAGATTGATCATCTCCAATTTCTGACCCTCCCCACCTGCCTTTGTTATTTTTATTTTACTTTTATGTTTGAGATTTTAAAGATTTTAATTATGCTACATAATGAAATTAAAACTTGCTTGTTTTTCAGAGGCAAATATTCAAGAACTGCTTTTAACCTTGAATGGTATCATTAAGAGTTCAGACAAAAATGTGTGTACCAGGGCACTGTGGGTAATATCCAAACAGACATTTCCCACTGAACTTGTTAGCAAAATGGTGAGTATAGTTCTGGGGTATCTGAATTATGTGCCAATAAAACAGTTCTGGTTCATTTGATTTGTATGTGTTTGTTTTGTCATTTAGGTATCCAGTATTATTGATTCATTGGAAGTGATACTAAGTAAAGGAGAGGTACATTCTGCTGTTGTTGATTTTGAAGCATTAAATGTTATTATAAGGTATGCAGTTGGTTCTTGTATAAATTAGAATAATTATGCTTTGGAGTTTGGGGTTTGTATATATGAAGATGAGATAGATACTGAACTGTGGGGCTGGCAATTTGCTACCAAGCCTGACAACCCGAGTTCAATCTCTAGAACCCATGTGAAAGGAGAGACCATATTCCTGCAAGTTCTCTGACCTCCACACACTCTGGATGTGTAGACACACGAGCTGGTACATACAGTACACATAACATGCACACACAAAAAAAATAAAACAGGGTTTAAAAAAAACAAAAGTATATATCCTTTAGACCAAGTTAAGCAAGAGAAAGGTAACAAGATTAAAAAAAAAATCTGTAAGTTGCTGTTTTATTTTTAGTGAAACAGACTTGGCTACATTCCTGTTGGTAATATATTTTGGTTCTGAAAATTGTATGTTAAGGCTTTCAGAATCCTCCTAAGTGAACTAGCCAGGAGCATACTTGCACCTTCCTCTTAGATGTGCTGGCAGCACAGTTTGTTAGTTTAATTTTTTAAGGGCTCTTTAGTTCAGCTATTTGCTTTAACTGTGTTCTGATGCTATATGACTGATTTGTAGATTATGTCCTATTTCTCTGATCACATTTAGTAATGTTCAGTTTGATAGTATAGCTATTGTAATTACAATTGTTGGTTTGTGCATACTACTGTGCCTTTGTGGAGGTTAGAGGACAAATTCTTTTCCCCCACAGTGTGGGTTCCAGGGATCAAAGCTCAGGTCATCAAGCTTACCAGCAAGCACCTTAACCCACTGAGTCATCTCATCAGCTTTGACTTGGAGAAAAAAAGTTCAAATCGAAGATCAAGATTGTGCTTGCTTTAAACACTTTGTGAAAACTCTAGGAGTGGAACTCCTGAGAGTCAGTGATAGAGTGCTTTTCAAGCAGGAGGTGCTAGCTTTAACTGCTAGTGCTGCAAAAAATAAGCCATATGTGCACTACAGATGTGTCCAGGTACAGTTTCATCTGTTTTTCTGTACATACAGTGATGTCTTTGTACAAATGCATACATTGGAGGATGTACACATTTTCAAATAATTGGCTATGTCATGCATATTACTGTGTGATGCTCACTTTTCTGGTAATTTCTTTTGCAGTGTGAGGGAGCGATTTGAGCATACTAGGCAAATACTCTACCATTTAAGTTGCACCACAAACCAAATGTCTTTTTCTTTTCTTTCTTTCTTTTTTTTTTTTTTTTTTTAATTCAAGACAGAGTCTCACCAAGTCGCCTAAGGCCTTGAACCTTCTGGTCATAGCCTCTTGAACAGTTGGATTTATAGGCCTGCATCACCTGGTCTTGCTTCTTGATAGTTTAACTTGGCCTCACTTTTTAGTTTAAATTAGTTATCTATTTCTCTTATTATAGGCTAATTGAACAAACCCCAGTTCAAATGGGAGAAGAGTCTGTGAGGTGGGCTAAATTGGTCATACCATTAGTTGTTCACTCAGCGCAAAAGGTACATTTGCGGGGAGCCACTGCTCTGGAGATGGGGATGCCATTGCTGCTTCAGAAACAGCAAGAAATAGCCTTGATTACAGAGCACCTTATGACTACTGTAAGTATTACCCTTTGCTGAATTCTGCGTTTAGTGGCTTCTACCTCGAGCTTACTACAATTCAGCCTTAATTCATTGGTACAGTTATACCATGACTGAGGAGTTTTGTTTTAAATCAAAAACAAAGATTTGGGCTCAATGAAGAGTGCTAGCTTAGCATGCACAATGCCTGTGAACAATCTTAACCATCAGAAACAAAAGAAACAAATGTAGAAAAGTTGTTTATACAAATTACTCCTATAATAACAAGTGAGTTGTTTTAGTTTTTACAAAAATCTAGATATTTTAATCTCTTCTCTAGTGAATGATGAATAAAGCGGGATTATATTTCTGAAAAAGGAAGATTATAATGGATTCAGTTAGTAAGGCATCTCAGTAGATATACATCTAATGCTTATGAGGTCATGTAAGTGTAGTTTCCTAGTTACTGCTTCAGGTCTTAAGTTTACCAGCGACTCTACTAGCAACATTTATTGAACATTTTTTTTTAAGTGAATTGTTTCTAAAGGCATTGTTACTGTGTAAACTGTGAGGTTTATTTTCTAGTATAAGAAAAAAGATGAGGCATAATAGTATAAAGAAAAGGTTAAAATTAGGACATAAGATTATTGATTTTAAAAAGCCAGTATAAGAATTGGCCATGGGTATAATAATAATAATAATAATAATAGTGTCAGCTCATTTTAGGTGAGAAAGTCATGACTGCCAAGGGCACCTTTATATTTGTGCACCCAGTTGGTTTTTAGGGAATGTTGTGGGATGCTTTTCTTCAGTGGAAGGGAATGACAGATACAGAGCAGGTAATCACATAGGAATAGGACTTGGGGACTATTGTAAGTTGGTTTCTATTGTTCTGAGATAGGTCTCATTCTGTAGTCCTGAGTGGCCTGGAGCTCTTTGCATTGAATTGAGACTTTCTGCCTCCTGAGTCTGATATTAAAGGCATGTGCCACCAAGCCTGGTTCATTATCAGGTCTTGTTTTTCAGTGGATGTGCATGTTTGTGTGTGCATAGATACATGCACATAGAGAGGCCTGAGGACAATCTCTGATGTTCTTCAGGCACGATTCCCCCACCAAGACCGTTTCACTGGCCTAGAACTTGATGACCAATGAGATCGAGGGGTCCTCTTTTCTCCATCTTTCCAGCTTTGAGATCGCAAACATGTACAAATTACTTTTAAACATAGGTTCTGGGGATCAGATCTGTGTCCTCATGCCCATGAAGTTTTTTGTTTTGTTTTGTTTTTTGTTTTTTTGATATTTTTATTTCTCATAATGCTTTGTTTGGGCATTTTTTTTTTCTTTTAACCTGACTGCCTTTTTGCTTATATTTTATGGTTTCCGATTTTGTGGGTTTTTTTTGAAACTGGAAAATATTTTCTCGGTAGAAAATAGTAAAAATGATAACATTTCCCAGTTAGGCCTTTTGAGCCAAATAATAGCTGAATTATACATATTGATTAGATTCTGGGACACAGAAGAAACCTATCTTCATTTGTTCAGAGAGCTATGCTTTACTTAAATTATATAAGTGAGATTCCTATTCATCTTCCCCTTTACTGTTTTGATTTACGGCAGACATTTTTCTATAGGCTAATCCATAATCTAAAAAGATTTCAGCCTCCCCTCCTGAAAGTACAGCCAGCATTTTCTTTCATCAGCTTGGTATGGTACAGATTCTTATCCTAATAGTGAAATGTTTCACTAAAGCTTGTCCATTGATTGGGCAAAATCAAAACTTAATAAGCAACAGTCATCCTAGGGTCTTCCCTGCTAGGTAGCCTCCCTGCATCTGTGAGTTGCAGTCTGATTGTCCTTTATATCTAGTATCCACTTATGAGTGAGTACATACCATGTTTGTCCTTCTGAGTCTGGGTACCTCCTTCAGGATGATATTTACTAGTTCCATCTATTTGCCTGCAAATTTCATGCTGTCATTGTTTCTCTCTGCTGAGTAGTACTCCATTGTGTATATGTACCACATTTTCCTAATCTATTCTTCAGTTGAGAGGCATCTAGGTTGTTTCTAGGTTCTGGCTATTACGAATAATGCTGCTATAAACATAGTTGAACGTGTATCTTTGTGGTATGATTGAGCATTCCTTGGGTATATGCCCAAGAGTGGTATGGCTGGGTCTTGAGGTAGATCGATTCCCAATTTTCTCAGAAACTGCCATACTGATTTCCACAGTGGCTGTACAAGTTTGCACTCCCACCAACAGTGGAGGAGTGTTACCCTTGCTCCCGCATCCTTTCCAACATAGACTGTCATTTGTGTTTTTGGTCTTAGCCATTCTAACAGGTGTAAGGTGGTATCTCAGAGTCGTTTTGATTTGCATTTCTCTGATGACTAAAGATGTTGAGCATTTCCTTAAATATCTTTCAGCCATTTGAGATTCTTCTTTTGAGAATTCTCTGTTTAGCTCCTTAGCCCATTTTTTAATTGGATTGTTGAGTATTTTGATGTCTAGTTTCTTGCGTTCTTTATATACTTTGTAGATCAGTCCTCTGTCAGATGTGGGGTTGGTGAAGATCTTTTCCCATTCTGTAGGCTGTCTTTTTGTCTTATTGACTGTGTCTTTTGCCCTGCAAAAGCTTCTCAGTTTCAAGAGGTCCCATTTATTCATTGTTGCTCTCAGTGTCTGTGCTACTGGTGTTATATTTAGGAAGTGGTCTCCTATGCCAATGTGTTCAAGAGTACTTCCTACTTTCTTTTCTGTCAAGTGCAGTGTAATGGGATTTATGTTGAGGTCTTTGATCCACTTGGACTTGAGTTTTGTGCATGGTGACAGATATGGATCTATTTGCAATCTTTTACATGTTGACATCCAGTTATGCCAGCACCATTTGTTGAAGATTCTTTCTTTTCTCCATTGTACAGTTTTGGCTTCTTTGTCAAAAATCAGGTGTTCATATGTGTGTGGATTAATGTCAGGGTACACATGTCAGTTTTTATTCCAATACCAAGCTGTTTTTATTATTATAGATCTATAGTAGAGCTTGAGGTCAGGGGTGGTGATGCCTTCAGAGGTTGCTTTATTGTATAGGATTCTTTTAGCTATCCTGGGTCTTTTGTTTTTCCATATGAAGTTGAGTATTTTTCTTTCCAAGTCTGTGAAGAATTGTGTTGGGATTTCGATGGGGATTGCATTGAATCTGTAGATTGCTTTTGGTAAGATTGCCATTTTTACTATGTTAATCCTACCTATCCATTAGCATGAGAGATCTTTCCATTTTCTGATATCTTCAATTTCTCTCTCTCTCCCCCTCTCCTTTCTTTCTTTTCTTTCTTTCTTTCTTTCTTTCTTTCTTTCTTTCTTTCTTTCTTTCTTTTCTTTTCTTTTCTTTTCTTTTCTTTTCTTTTCTTTCTTTCTTAGCTGAGGATTGAACCCAGGGCCTTGCGCTTGCTAGGTAAGCGCTCTACCACTGAGCTAAATCCCCAACCCTTCAATTTCTTTCTTTAGAGACTTAAAGTTCTTATACAGGTCCTTCACTTAGTGTTACCCCAAGGTATTTTATATTATTTGCGGCTATTATAAAGGGTGATGTTTCTCTAATTTCTTTCTCATCCCGTTTGTCATTTGTATATAGGAGGGCTGCTGATTTTTTTGAGTTAATCTTGTATCATGCCACTTTACTGAAGGAGTTTATCAGCTGTAGTAAATCCCTGGTAGAATTTTTGGGGTTATTTATTATATCATCTGCAAATAGTGAAAGTTTGACTTCTTCCTTTCCAATTTGTATCCCCTTGATCTTCTTTTGTTGTCTTTCTGCTCTAGCTAGAACTTCAAGTACTATATTGAATAAATATGGGGAGAGTAGACAGCCTTGTCTTGTTTCCGATTTTAGTGGAATCGCTTTAAGTTTCTCTCCATTTAATTTGATGGTGGCCAACAGCTGCAAATTGCCTTTATTATGTTTAGGTATGTTCCTTGTATTCCTGATCTCCCCAAGACTTTAATCATGAAGGGCTGTTGGATTTTGTCAAAGGCCTTTTTAACATCTAATGAGATGATCATGTGGTTTTTTTCTTTCAGTTTGTTTATATGATGGATTACATTGACAGATTTTCGTGTGTTAAACCATCTGTGCATTCCTGGGATGAAACCTGCTTGGTCATGGTGGATAATTTTTTTAATGAATTTTCCTCTTAGCACTGCTTTCATAGTGTCCCATAAGTATGGGTATGTTGTACTTTCATTTTCATTGAATTCTAGGAAATTTTTAATTTTTCTTTATTTCTTCCTTGACCCATTGATGTTTCAGGTGGGCATTATTCAGTTTCCATGAGATTGTAGGCTTTATGTAATTTTTGTTGTTGTTGAAGTCTAATTTTAATGCATGGTGGTCTGATAAGATACAGGAGGTTATTCCAGTGTTTTTGTATCTGTTGAGATTTGTTTTGTGACCAAGCATGTGGTCAATTTTTGAGAAGGTTCCATGGGGTGCTGAGAAGAAGGTATATTCTTTTGTGTTGGGGTGGAATGTTCTGTAGATATCTATTAAGTCCATTTGAGTCATAACATCTGTTAGGTCCTTTATTTCTTTGTTAAGTTTCAGTCTGGTAGATCTGTCCTTTTGTGAGAGTGGTGTGTTGAAATCTCCCACTTCTAGTGTGTGGGGTTTGATGTGTGATTTCAGCTTTAGTAATGTTTCTTTTACAAATGAAGGTGCCTTTGTATTTGGGGCATAAATGTTCAGAATTAAGACTTCATCTTTCATCTTGGTGGATTTTCCCTGTGATAAATATGTAATGTCCTTCCCGATCTCTTTTATTTTATTTATTTATTCATTTTTTTTGTTTTTTCAAGACAGGGTTTCTCTGTATTTTGTTGCCTTTCCTGGATCTCGCTCTGTAGACCAGGCTGGCCTCGAACTCACAGAGATCCGCCTGGCTCTGCCTCCCGAGTGCTGGGAATAAAGGCATGTGCCACCACCGCCCGCCCGATCTCTTTCGATTGATTTTAGTTTGAAGTCTATTTTATTAGATATTAGGATAGTTACACCAGCTTGCTTCTTAAGTCCATTTGATTGGAAAGCCTTTCCCAGCCTTTTACTCTGAGGTAGTGTCTGTCTTTGAAGTTGAGGTGTGTTTCTTGTGTGCAGCAGAAGGATGGATTCTATTTTCGTATCCATTCTGTTAGCCTTTTTATAGGTGAGTTGAGACCATTGATATTAATGGATATTAATGACCAGTGATTGTTAATTCCTGTTATTTTTTGGTGGTAGTGTTGTGTTTCCCTTCTTTGGTATTTGTTGGTGTGGGATTATCTATTGCCTGAGTTTTTATGGGTGTGTTTAATTGCCTTAGGTTGGATTTTTCCTTCTAGTGCTTTCTGCAGGACTGGATTTGTGGATAGGTATTGTTTAAATCTGGTTTTATCATGGAATATTATGTTTATTCCCTCTATGGTGATTGAGAGTTTTGCTGGGTATAATAGTCTGGATTGGCATCTGTGGTCTCTTAATGTCTGCATAACATTTGTCCAGGACCTAGCTTTCGTAGTCTCTATTGAGAAGTCTGGCGTTACTCTGATGGGTCTGCCTTTATATGTTACTTGGTTTTTTTCCTTTGCGGCTCTTAATATTTTTCTTTTTTCTGTATGTTTAGTATTTTGATTATCATGTGGCAAGGAGACTTTTTTTTTGATCCAGCCTATTTGGTGTTCTGTAAGCTTCCTGTATCTTCATAGGTATTTCTTTCTTTAGGTTAGGACAGTTTTCTTCTATGATTTTGTTGAATATATTTTCTGTGCCTTTGAGTTGGTATTCTTTTACTCCTTCTATCCCTATTACTCTTAGGTTTGGTCTTTTCATGGTGTCCCAAATTTCCTGGATGTTTCGTGTTATGACTTTTTGGGCTTTAGTGTTTTCTTTGACTGATGAATCTATTTTCTCTATTGTGTCTTCAACATCAGAGATTCTCTGTTCCATTCTTGCATTCTGTTGGTTATGCTTATATCTGTAGTTCCTGTTCGTTTAGTCAGATTTTCTATTTTCAGCATTCCCTCAGTTTGAGTCTTCTTTATTGTCTCGATTTCAATTTTCAAATCTTGAACTGTTTCCTTCATCTGTTTAATTACTTTTTCTTGGCTTTCTTTGATTTTTTTTCCAATATTTTGTTCGTTTTTTTCTTCCATTTCTTTAAGGAAATTTTTTTATTTCCTCTTTAAGGGAATTTTTCATTTCCTCTTTTAGGGCCTCTATCTTCTTAAAGTCATTTTTAGGATTGATTCCTTCTGCTTGTGTGTTGGTATGTTCAAGTCTTGCAGGTGCAGAATTACTAGGTTCTGATGGTGTCATATAGGTCTTTATGTTGTTGCTTATATTTTTGCACTGGCATCTACTCAGCTCTTCCTCTGCTCAGTGCAGGCGGTGTCTGTGTGAGGGTGCCTCTTCTTGTTCTAATTGATAGTCTTCGTCCACTGGGAGTTCTTGGTCGAATGGGTGCTGTTGGGCTCTGTTTCTCCGGGAGCAGCTTAATCCAATCAGTGTTAGTGAGTTCTGTCTCAGGGAGCAGTTGTTCCCAATCGGTGCAGGGTGGGCTTATGGCTCCAGTGGTTGTTGGTGTCACATGGGATGGTTTTCTTGGCTAGGGGGCAGTGGAAGAGTCCGCTGTCTGGTCCCTGGGGCTCCAGTGGTTGTTCCCAGTTGGTGTAGGGTGGGCTTAATGACTCTGGTGGTTGTTGGGTTCACAGGGACTTGGTTTTTTTTTTTTTTTTTGGCGAGGGAGCAGGGAAAGGTAGCTGCCTGGTCCCTGGGGCTCTGATGGAAGGGGCCTAGGGGCTAGAGACTTGGTCTGCTGCTCCGGAGAGATGGGGCCTTACCTCTTCCCAGTTGGTGTAGGATGGGCTTATGACTCTGGTGATCTGGTTCGGCGGCTGGACGACTCCTTCTCTTGCATTCTCGGGTCACGTTTTCCTGGCTCGCCAACTCCTCAGCTGATCTTGTTTCCTCAGACTCCAGGTTGTAGGCTTCTGAAACCTCTCCCGAATGGATCTCAGCTAACAGGTTGATCAGTAGGGTAATCTCACCAACACCTCCAAGTTGGTGGGCTTCTCAGGATCGGCAGCTGGGCCCGGGTTGGCCTTGGGCAGAATGTTTGGGTCTGTTATGGTCATATCCCACTGAGACAGCTCCTTCCCCGAGTGCTGGAATAAAAGGTGCTTGCTTTGTTTTTTAGATAGGGTCTCTCGTGTATCCCAAGTTAGCCTCAAACATTCTCTCCCATGAAGTTTTTATTGGTACCATGGTTTATATGGAAAGCTACATGTTAGTTACTTGTTGCTGTGATGTAATACTTAGAAGAATAAACATAGACTCTCTCAAAACACCAAGAAAAAGAATAAGCCTGAGGGATGGAGATTTCTTTAGGGTGCACATTTGGTTACTTGGTCCCATCATTTTTTCGTCATGAGCATGGTGGTAGGAGTGTGTGGCAGAGTGTGTGCCGCTACTCACAGGGCACAGCACACACCTGTAATCCCAGAATTGAGAGGCATAGATAAGGAGCTCTGGGAGTAGAAGGCTTACCTGTCTTTATAACATGTAGGCGGATTTTTCTGTCCTGCCAGCCAGCTCCCAAATCATGAGGCGGAGACTTACTATTATGAAAGCTCAGCTGATAGCTTAGGTTTATTTCTAACTAGCTCTTAGAACTTAAATTAACCCATTTCTGTTTATGTGCTGCCACGTTACGTTGATCATGGCTTTTACCTCTCATCCTGCATGTCTTGCTTCTTCTGCATCCGGCTCGCAACTCCCTTCTTCCCAGAGTCTTCTCTGCCCCCAAAATCCTGCCTAATTATTGATCATTCAGCTTTTTATTAAACCAATCCAAATGACACATCTTCACAGTGTACAAACAAATTATTCCACAATGATAGTGAGTAGTAGGTCATCCACAGCAGTACAGTGGGACTCCATCTTGAAAAACAAATCAGAAACTAAAAATCGGAGTGTATTGGAAACAGAATTGGAAGGAGCCACGGCAAGCTACGCCCTTCAAAGACTTTCCCCTCACTAATAACATGCTTCCTCCAAATAGGTCAGTTTTTATTACTAATGTGCTTTCTCCCCATAGGCCACTCTATACATTTGAGCTAAAATGTTGTTAGTTTTTTAAAATTTGCTTTTAAAATTTATATTGTATATATGATTGTGAGTGCTAGTATATACATGCTTTGCTGTACATGGGATCAGAGGACAGTTTTTATTTCTGGAGACAGTCTCAATATGGAATTCACTGTGCAGACCAAGTATACCTTGATTTACAGAGATCAGCTTACCTATGCCTCCTGAGTAATGGGATTAAAGATGTTTACCACCATGCTCAGTAAGAGGGCAAACTGGGAGTCAGTACTTAATGTGGATTCTGGGTGTCTCTTGTTAGGTTTGCAGAAGGTAAGGCTTGAGCCATCTCATGGACTCTTGAACTCTTAGATATCTGTTACTGTGAAGCTGTTAGTGAATGTTTAAGTTATTAGTATAAGAAGATTGCCACAGTATCATTTGAATTTTAGTTAATGGTGTGACTAATGAAGTTTTTAGGAAGAACTATGCTGGAAAGAAAAGTGTGAGCTGAATGGTGGACAGTAGGGTAGTCAGATGAGCATTAAACTTACTGGTAGAAGGAGGTGCTTTCTTTAAAGCTCTTCACATTGCTGTGTGCTGCAGTTTTTGCTTTCTTTGAAGGATGTATATTTTTTTAAATTTTTATTAAAGTTTTTTTTTTCATTCTACATACCAATCCCCCCACCTCCCCCCACCCCACTCCCCATCCACTCCTCAAAGAGGGTAAGGCCTCCCATGGGGAGTCAGCAAAGTCTGGCATATCAAGTTGAGGCAGGACCAAGCCCCTCCCTGCTTCATGAGGCTGAGCAAGGTATCCCTCCATAGGGAATGGGCTCCACAAAGCCAGTTCATGCATCAAGGATAAATCCTGGTCCCACTGCCAGTGGCTCCACAAACTGCCCAAGCCACACAACTGTCACCCAGATTCGGAGTTTGGTCCCATTCAGGTTCCCCAGCTGTCAGTACAGAGTCAGTGAGCTCCTACTAGCTCGGGTCAGCTGTCTCTGTGGAATTCCCCATCATGACCCCTTTGCTCATATAATCCCTCCTACTCTCTTTGACTCGACTCCAGGAGCCCCATCCAGTGCTTGGCTGTGGATCTCTGCCTCTGCTTCCATCAGGTACTGGATGAAGGTTCTACGATGACAGTTAGGGTAGTCTTCGATCTAAAGACAGGGGAAGGCCAGTTCAGGGACCCTCCAGGTTCTGAAGGATATATGCTTTCACTGTAGAAAAGGTTATTTGGCTCAAAAAATTAATGTTTGAAAATTTTTTAGACTTGGATAGTGAATTTTTTTACCTTTTATAGTATTTGATACATTTTTACTTTTGTTTACAGAAATTAATCTCAGAACTCCAAAAGCTATTTATGAGTAAAAATGAGACTTATGTATTAAAATTATGGCCTTTGTTTGTCAAACTTCTTGGGAAGGTAAGTGCCAAAGATAATGAAGTAGGTGTTATTTTCATAATTTGAATGTCAGAATTTTTACTTTTTAAAGAGTGCCCCACACTCAAGCTGCTCTGGAGCTCACTACTCACCACATAGCTCAAGCCCAGGCCTGAAATTTGCAGTAATCCTCCTGTATCAGCCTACCAAGTTCTGTGATTATAGATATGAACCACTGTGCCCAGCTTATGTGTGGGTATGCATGCTCATGTGTGTACTGATAGACATTAACATGTGCACATCCTGTGGAGGCCAGAAGTCAACCTCAGGTGTTACTCATTAGGTGCCATCCGCTTTGTTTGTTTGTTTGTTTATTGCATTTATTTATGTGAATGATTATATGTGAGAAATGACACCCATCAGGACTACTTGGGGGAGTTGTTGACTCTATCCACTATATGGGCTCCCAGATGTACCTGCCACTCTATTTGGATTAAAGGTATCTGCCACTATCTGCCCAGTTTCTATTTTTGAGGCAGGAGTCTCACATTCATGTAAATTCACCAAGTAGGCAGTCGTTTCTGCCTTTCTAGCACTGGGGTTCCAAGTGTTTGCCATCATGCCTACCCTTAAAACAATATCTTTGTGTTGTGTGCACATGCGTTCCCAGACGTGCTTAGAGGTCAGGGCAACTTTGTGGAGTTTTTCTTTCCTGCCACTGGGGATCAAACTCAGGTTTTCAGGCTACTTACATGGCAGCCACATGTACTGCTGAGCCGTCTCACTGGCCCTTTTGCTCTTACTTTTACTATGTAATGTCCTGGCTAGACTAAAGCTCTAGGTCAGACTGACCTTGAAAGCAAATTTGCGTGCCTCTGCCTCCTACATGCAACCACATCCAGCTGCCTAGCTTTTGAACCTGGGCTCTGAGGCTGGATTGAACTTGGGTCCTGTCAATGCACGGCAAGCACTTTATTGAACAAGTTAGCTGTTTCCCCCATACCCTCAGCGTGTTTTTAATTGCTTGAAACATCCCAGTACTCATGTTACAGGTTTTTATGTTTGCAAGCAGTGTGGCTTTTGTTTACTGATTATTAATTCCCAAGAACGTATATTAAGTGATTAAATGAATTATTTTTTGATGAGTTTTCTCTTTTCTTAGACCTTGCACCGAAGTGGGAGTTTCATCAATTCTTTGTTACAGCTAGAAGAACTGGGCTTCCGTAGTGGAACACCCATGATTAAAAAGATAGCTTTCATTGCTTGGAAGAGCTTGATAGATAATTTTGCTTTAAACCCAGGTATGTAGATAGCTTTAAATTCTTTTCCCCATTCATTCATTCATTCATTCATTCTTTTAAGGCTTTTAGTTTATTTTCTTAGTAGATGTAATATTGTGTGTGCATGCATGTCTGTGTGACAAAGGCAGGACATTCGGGCCATGGTGAGGATAGGGGACTACTTAGTGGAATCCATCTTTTGTCATTATTGCATGGGTTCTGGGAATTAAACTCAACATTAGCAGGCCAACTTATACAGCAAGCCTAAGACACCTTGCTGGCCTTTTTTGGGGGGGAGGGGGAGACATTCTAAGAATGTAGATGAGGCTGAAACTAATCAAATTTTTAATTTTGTATGAATTCATTTACTGTTAAGCAAAGATTAAGTGATGAAGCCTTTTCTGATTCTTTGGGCTTTATATTGAAATTATAACTTATTAACTTTACCTTAAGGGAATAGGAATAAATATGTAAATAGAATTTGAGAGACATTGAAATTACTAATAAATGATTTAGCCTAAGTTATTTTCAGAAGTTGAACAAAATGAAAACCTATTTGTGGCTTTTTAGCCTGAGTAAAACATCATGTATGTTGTGTCTTTTTGAAATCACTACAGTAGGTCTGACTTTATGATTATTTTAGAAAATCTGATTTATTAGGAGCAATACAGACAACAGATGGCAAGACAAATGATAGCCATGGAATGAAGATATCAATAACTTAGTTTTTTACCTCATACTTTTAGAACTATGCTCCAAACTGGATTCTTTAGACTTGTCTTCACCTTATTATAATGCTCAGTGGAGTATTTGTCATGTATATATGAGAAAAGTAGCCCAAAACATTAGTATAAATATGTAACAGGATAGGTGTGGTGGCATACCCCTCTAATCCCAATTCTCAGGAGGTAGAATCAGGTGGATCGCTATAAGTTTGAGGTCAGTCTGGTCTACTTAGTGAGTTCTAGGCTAGCCAAGACTACATAGTAAAAAAAATCTGTCTCCAAACAAATAACAAACCTTAGCTAGGTGATAGTTTAATCCTAGATTTGATTGATAATATATGTTTATAATTTTTGTTGCACAATGTCTAGACCTCTTAAGAAGTGGTAATTGAATTAAATGATAAAGTAGTTGTAAGAAATACTAACAGGAGATTCACTTAAACTTTTTTTACTGATATTTCAAATCCTTCTGAAGTGTTTGTGATAAGATATATGTGAGCAAAGACTGTCATAATTTTCTATACCCAGGTCTAGTAAAAATATTGTTCAGAGAATTGAGTTTCAGGGACTGGAGAGAGATGGGTTAGTAGTTAAGAGTGCTTGCTGTTGCCCTTCCACAGGACCCTCACCTTGGGAGGTTTACAACTGCCTGGATAATTCCAGCTCCCGGGGGTCTGACACCCTCTTCTGACCTCCAAGGACACCTGTGTACATGTCACATATACTACAAAAACATATACATATACATGTAAAAATGAAAGCAAACCTTAAGAATTAGCAAACAAACAAGAACCAACCCAACAAATTGGGTTTCATTTGTATGTTGAATTCGATCAGTCATTAAAGTAGGGTAGAGCTGACCCTAAAGTAGGGTGTAGCTTTCTGAAAATTTGATGGCACTAGTGGTCATGGTGCTTGATGTAAGTTACTAGTTGATTTTTAAAATAATCTTTGTTGTTGTAGTAATGGAAAATTATGCTCACGTTGGCCTGTACCTACTGATCCTCTTGCCCTGGCCTCCTGCGGGCCTGGGATTGTGTGTGTGAGCCACTATGGTTCTTTACCTCCATTTCTTTTAAGAAATTTTATCTTTGGCTTCAGTCCACTAACTGCCAGTATCATCTCTTCAGTTTTAGCAACCTGAAATATTGTAGATATTTCCACAGGTTGGCATTCCTGGTGGGAATAGTAACCCTCTTATATTACACTGTATCTGATACTAAAATGTCTATTTTGTTTTTGGTCCAGCTGTACTAGAGTTTGTCCAAGTGAGAAGTTTATTCTGACTTCTTTTGTTACAGTAATCTTTTACTTCTATTCATTTTTTTTAAGATATACTTTGTAGTGCAAAAAGACTCAAGTTGTTAATGCAGCCTTTGAGTTCCATCCATGTGAGAACAGAAACATTAGCATTAACAAAACTAGAAGTCTGGTGGTATTTACTGATGAGACTTGGACCTCAGCTCCCTGGCAATTTTGAACAGGTAACATAATTATTAACTTAAAAAATCCATGTGTGTCTTTTTGTTCTAGTTTTTGTTTGTGATAGGGTCTAGCTGGGCTAGGATTCCCTGCGTAGATCAAGCTGACCTTAAACTCAGATATACCTGCCTCTGTTTCCTGAGTGCTGCAGTTAGAGGTATTCACCAGCATGCCTGGCATGTGTCCTTAAATTCTTACCATTCTAATATCAGAGGTGTTTTGTTTTGTTGTTATTTACCAGTATTTTAAAAGTCTTTTATCCTTTATAAAAACTTCAGTATGTTTCTTGTATTCTCCAAATGGTAATCAGCCATTGCCAACATAACAGTGTAGATATTTGTTTATTTAAAAAAAATTTTTTTTAATTATCTCATTTTTTATATGTATGGGTGTTTTGCCTGCGTGTAGTAGGTTTGTACCCTTGATGCCAGAAGAGGCTTCAGATCCCTGAGAACTGGGGTTATATGAGCACTATGGATGCTGGGAATCAAATCCTGGTCCTCTGTTAGAGCAACCAATGCTGTTAATTGCCTAACCATCTCTCCAACACCCTTTAAAATGTTTCTTTTATGTATAGGTGTTTTGCCTGCATGTATATCTGCACTGCTTTCATGCCTGGTGCCAGAGATGGCCAGAAAAGGGTGTTGGATCTTTGGGGCTTTAATTACAGATAGTTGTGAGGTACTATGTGGGCACTGGGCATCAGACCCAGGTCCTCTGGAAGAACAGCAAGTGCTCTTAAAAGCTGAGCCATCTCTCTATCTATTTATCTATCTATCTATCTATCTATCTATCTATCTATTTATTTATTTTTTGGTTTTTTGAGACAGGGTTTCTCTGTGTAGCTTTGCGCCTTTCCTGGAACTCACTTGGTAGCCCAGGCTGGCCTCGAACTCATAGAGATCCGCCTGCCTCTGCCTCCCGAGTGCTGGGATTAAAGGCGCGCGCCACCACCGCCCGGCTCTTCATTATTTATAAGATTAACTTTCGTAGTGTTTAGCAGTCAGCTAATTAACATTAGTGAAATAGCAAGTGCTATACCACAAGGTTAGTAGAAATAAAAATTCCAAAGAAAAATTTTCCCTCCTTTTTCTAGATGACATAGTTATAAGCAATCACTAGTTATAAGTGACACTAAACACTTAATTTGGTCTAAGCCTTTTGTGTGGCAATTCCATTGTTGGTTTTCGTGGGGTTTTTTTTAGTTTTTTATTTATTTATTACCTATACAGTGTTCTGCCTGCAGGCCAGAAGAGGGTGCCAGATCTCATTATGGATGGTTGTGATCCACCATGTGGTTGCTGGGAATTGAACTCAGAACCTCTGGAAGAACAGCCAGTGCTCTTAACCGCTGTGCCATCTCTCCAATCCCCCCATTGTTGGTTTAATTAAAACGTTAAAAGATAAATTTTACTTGTAGATCTGTATTGTATTTCTTACATTCTAAGTAAACAGTGGTAAAGCAGGAATTGCTTTCTTGGAAGATGTGTTTGTTCTTGAGCCTTTTCCCCCAGTGGTACCCTTTCATTTTTAAAGACATGTTCTCACACTGTAAACCAGGTTGGTCTTGAGGCCATGTTTGTCTTCACCCTCTTGAGTTAAACAGATATATGGATGTTATGTAGCCATGAGCCACCATGCTGTTTTTATTTGATTTTTTGGGACTGAGTTTCATATTCCAGGGCTAGAACTTGCTTTGTAGTCACAACTAGCCTTCTGATCCTCCTGCCTTAAGTGTTGGGATTATGGGTGTGTGTACAGCTTTAGCACTGGCAATCAAACTCGGGACTTTATACTTGCAAGTTGAGCTACTTTCCCAGCCCAGTACTTTTGGCAGTCCTGGGTTGAACTATGGGACCCTGTGTATATACTAGAGAAGCTCTATCATTGAACTTTATCACCAGCCTTAGTTCCTGAGTTTTAGATAGAAGCTTCCTAAGTTTGATATGACATAATTGAAAATCAGCATTAAACAAATCATAATATAATTTCCAGATTCTGCCATCATAAGGTCCTAAGTCTAATCTAGTTGTATAACTTATTTACTGGAAGAACATAGATGAGACTGGTAGTGGATGATTTTAGAAGTGAGCTTTAACTGTCTTGATATTTTCTAACATGACTTTTCACAGAGGCTTTGCTCAGCTAGGGATGTATTGCTTATTGGTAGGGAGTATGCTTAGCCTGTGTCTCACCATGGGTTTAATAGTCAACACCAAAGAAGAATTAAAAAGCTTAAAACAAAGGTTGGGGATGTAGGTAAATTGACAGGGTGCTTGCTCAGCATGCTTGGTGCCCAAGGGTCAAACTTCTGGACCACAAAAATGGAGTGTGCTGGTGCATGTCTGTATCTCCAGCACTGGAGAAGTAGAGGCAAAAGAATTAGAAGTTCAGTCATCTTGGCTATATGTTGAGTTCAAAGACAGCCTGGGCTGCAGGAGACCTTGTCTGGGGAAAAAAACTTATAACACCACAAGTAGTGTGTGTAACTAGCTCAATTTATTTGCCAATTTATTTAATGTATGCAATTTTGTTTGGGATTTAGAACTAACTGAAACAGATAATACCCCAGGCAAATACAAGTATAGAAAACTGGCCCTGTGCGAAGCTTGGTGGCGCAAGCCTTTAATCCTAGCATTTGAGAGACATTCTAACTCTTGGGAGACAGAGGCAGGTGGATCTCTGCGTTGGAGATCAGCCTGTCTACAGAGTGAGTTCCAGAACAGCTAGAGCTACTCAGAGAAACCCTGTCTCCAACAAAACAAAACCAAAGGAAAAGAATAAAGCCGGGCGGTGGTGGCACACACCTTTAATCCCATGTGGGTTTGAGGCCAGCCTGGTCTACAGAGTGAGTTCTAGGACAGGCTCCAGAACTACACAGAAAAACCCTGTCTGAAGAAGAGAAAAGAAAACTTGTCTTGCATTTCAGTTTTTGGCGGGTGGGGGTGGGGGGTGTGGGGGGAGGTTCGAGACAGGGTTTCTCTGTGTAGTTTTGGTGCCTGTCCTGGATCTCACTCTGTAGACCAGGCTGGCCTCGAACTCAACAGAGATCCTCATGGCTCTGCCTCCTGAGTGCTGTGTACCATTTTCTTACCTGGTGCCCATGGAGGTCAGAAGAGGGCATTAGGTCCCCTGGAACTAGATGGTTATGAGCTCCATGTGAGTTCTGGGAACTGAACCCAGATCTACAAGAGCAGAAAATGCTTTTAACTTCTGAGCTATCTCTAATCCAAGGTCTTAGGATATTTAGACATCTATTAGGGAATGGGATCCAAGTTTAACCATGAAATTCGTTTATTTTAAATTATAGTTTATATAGAATTTTACATGGCAATTTTATTTTGCTACCTCTTCCATGAGACTGGTCACGTTTAGAATTAAAAAGTTTTATGTTTAATATTTAGCAGATCTTAAGTTTTTAATTGGCCCAATCTACCTCTGTGTCAGAAGAATGAAGACTGCTTCTTTAAGAAATACTTATCTTGCTGGATAGTGGTGGCTGCAGCGGCACACACCTTTGATTCCAGCACTTGGGAGGCAGAGGCAGGTGGATCTCTCTCTGAGTTCAAGGCCAGCCTTCTCTACAGAGTGAGATCCAGAATACCCAGGGCTACACAGAGAAACCCTGTTTGAAAAAAGCATGAATTGTAAACCGTTTACAAATTTGACAGTTACATTATTGCTGTTTTGCCTTACCTATTAGGTTTGTGTGCCTCTGATTCAGAGTACAATAAGTGTTGATAGTGTTGCTTCACCTCAAGGCAGTTCATCTCGAGGGTCTGCTTCTCCTGTCTTAAGTCCACTGACTCCTGGACATAAAGGTGAGAGAAAAGGATTTCCTTTTCTTTTGAAAAGTCTTTGAAGGAGTGGTCGTACTCTCCTGGAGACTAGGTTCTTTAAACAGAAAGTCCTTTTTATTTTACTTTTTTTAGAGACAGGATCTCATAACATAGCCCTTTCTCAGGTCTTGCTAAGGCTAGTCCTGAATTGGTGATCCTTTTGCCTCTGCTTTTCAAATATTGGGATTAGAGGCCATACTTCTATTGTATTCTTATCTATACTCTTATCTTTGTTACTGATAACATTTAATTGGATTATCTTGCTTTGTTGGTAGGTCTCACTATGTGTATAGCCCAGATAGTTTTTTGTTTTTTGGTTTTTTTTTTTCCTGTTGTTTGAGACAGTGTTTCACTATGCAGCCTAGACTAACTTGAATTCTGTTTGAGACGTGCTCTCACTATGTACTTCTGGCTAGCCTGGAACCCACTGTGTTGACCAGGCTGGCTTTGAACTGACACAAGTCCTCCAGATGCTGGGATTGCACCTGTGTACCACCAAACCCAGCTCCTTTCATGCTACATGAATTGATTGCCAATAAACAACACAGAATGACTAGGAAAGCAGCACAAACTTGCATGGAAAATGAGTCTTAAAAGATAGTTAAAATATGTAACAGCATTGGAAAGCAATCATTTGTCATTACTTTATGTCAGCCTTTTTTTAGAGTTTTTGATTTTTTATTCAAGTTACAGAAAGGCTTGGATACTTCAGGGTATGTATTAATGTCTGAGAAATTTATATCCTGTTTTTAAAGGTGTATTGTATTGATAGGAACTGTAACTTGAATAATTTGGTCTTTTCTCTTTTAAAGGTGCTTCTTATCCTGCAACTCCACGCATGAACCAGAGTTCAAGTATAGGTGGAGTGGCTTCAATCCCTTCCATTCAGCTTCTGGGACTGGAAATGATGCTTCACTTTTTATTGGGTCCAGAAGTCTTGAATTTTGCTAAGCAACACAAGCTTGTATTGAGCTTAGGTATTTGTTTTTGAAATAATTTCATGTGTTTGAAACAATCCAAAACTTAAAACTGTTGGATGGTGGAGAGGCCTCTGTTTCACAGCAGCTCAATAATAGTGATAAACTTGAGTGTGAATGTGTTTAAATCTTTTAAGAAAACATTTAGATGAATTTTTTTTGGTAGAAATATGTTCCATAAATCTTTTGGCCTGCTTGTCTTGTTCTCCCCTTTAGAGCCATTGGAGCACCCACTAATCAGCAGCCCTTCTTTCTTCTCCAAGCATGCGAATGTACTTATCACTGCTGTTCACGATAGCTTTGTTGCAGTTGGAAGAGATGCTTCAGGTAAGTTTAGGAAATTTTTTAAATTCAAAAGTCCGTATTTTTTCGGCATTTATGTCATTTGTGTGTGTGCATGTTTGTGGCCATACATGTGCCACAGGACATGGGGATGTCAGAATACAACTTTTTGGGACTCACCTTGTGGGTCCTGGGAATTGAGGCTACCAAGGCTGGAAGCAGGCACCTTTACCCATTGAGCCATCTCACCAGCCCTTTAAAGGACGATGCAAAAGCAAATACTTCTGGGTGGTGGTGGTGGCAGCGGCGGCGCACAACTTTGATCCCTGCACTCAGGAGGCAGAGGCAAGTGGATGTCTGAGTTCAAGGCCAACCTGGGCTACAGAGCTAGTTCCAGGGCAGCCACGACTACACAGAGAAATCCTGTCTCATAAAATGAAAATCAAATAATAATTTGGTGTTAACTCATTGACCAGATTGTGTACCAAAAAGTTTTCCGGTAACATTGGGGAGGCAGAGGCAGGCCAATCTCTGATAATTTGATGTTTGTGTTGTCTATGTGGTATGTTCCAGACACCAAGGCTACATCGGAAAAGAAACTAGTTCCATTGTACTAAGACATATATACTGCATAAAATCATATAGTGACTGGTAGATCTCCGACTGAAGCCTAGGCTCTGTGGCTTCAGTATCTGCTTTTAAATTTATGTTCATGGCCTAAGAGAAATGAGTACAAGAAATGTAAAGGCAGGTGTGGTGGTTTGCCTTTGTAATCCCTTTATGAGAGGTTGTAAGGCAAGAGGATTGCCAAAAGTTCAGGAGACCACCTGGACGGCAGAACGAGATCTTCCTTCAAAACAGACGTGAGATGATAGCAAAAACAATCTGAGCACTGCAGAAGCTGAGATGAGCCTCATTCATTTGAGGCTGATCCAATTTCCAACATAGAGCCTGTCATCAACAAAGAAGTAGATAAAATAAAAAAGCTTCTGAGTTGTTTGGAAAATGCTCGTGTATGGAGGACGGAGGACAACTTTGGAAGTTCTTTCCTTCCACTATGGGGTCTTGGGATCAAACTCAGATTGCGAGATTGCCAGCCAGTGCCTGCTGAGACATTCTACTTGTTTTGTTTTTAGTAAATAAAAGGGTATTACGTGTATGGGTGTGACCCATGGAATCTAGACTGGGGGAATTTGCATTCTTTGGAGAAAGAATCTTGGTCTTTGTCACTCAGCTGGCTTGAAAGCAGTGCTAGTCCTCTTGTCTGGGCCTCTTAAGTGCAGGAATAATCAGTGTGTACAACAAGCACTAACTCATTGTTTTCCGTTTTGCAAAAGTGATGGATATTCAACATGGACAATACAGATCAAAGTGAAAACATTTATTTTTTATTATAAGGCAGGCTCATTGCTAACGTTGTCCTTTTAAAAAGGTTTAATTTCTCTAAAGAAAGATTGAAGTGGTGGTTTTATAAATATATTATAAGGAAATAACAGTCAAATTAGTGCTCAGTTTGCTATTAGTATAAGGAAGGGCAGAATAGGTTTTTTTGTTTCCTTAGTATGTATATATGTGTAGTACGAGTATGCCTGGTGCTCCAGGAGGTTATAAGAGGACATCAGATTCCTTGGAACTTGAGTTAGAGATGGGGTACTAGGAACTGAACCCTGTCTTAAAAGTTCTTGTGTCCTTGACAGATGCAGTCGTCAGTGCTATCTGGAAGGAGCTCATTAGCTTGGTGAAGTCAGTTACTGAATCAGGTAAGCACTATTCCATTGCTGAATGACCTTCATAGCATACAGTGTAGTGCTTATTGAAGCTAATGTCAGCCTTATTTGTATTAAATATGTTTCTGAGATATTCTTTAAACAAAGAAGTTATGCAACATGTTTAGTTAAATAAAATTTTCATAACTCTTAGTAGATATGCTCTAAAAAAACATGTTTGGAATTAAACCCTTCCTTTTACTCTTTGATAGGAAATAAAGAAAGATCAGGTTCTGAAGTTTTGACCCTCCTACTAAAATCTTTGGAAAACATAGTGAAGTCAGAAGTATTTCCTGTATCAAAAACACTGGTAAATATATTTATAAGTTGCCTTAAAGTCTAATTTTGAAATTCAGTTTATATTGACACTTGGTCAGATAATGTCTGGCACAGACCTTTATAATATTGGCCAAATATTGACTAGTAATTTAGCTGTGTTGTAAGTGCCTTTCAAATTTCATTTGGAACCTATATAGTAAATAGCTGTAGCAGCAGCTACAAACATCTACAGTGTGGTTAAAGGGATCAGCTTCATACCAAAAATGGAATAAAGGACATGCAACTTGAACTGAACAAATTTTAGTGTTCACAGTGCTTGGTAACAGTAGCACATTGTCACTTTGCTTTTAATTATGCTTTAAACCTAAATAGTACAAATGGAAAAAGTAAGTTGTATATAATTTTTATATTAGTGGAATAAATAATGTCCTTAAATACACTGTGCCTGATGTAGCATAATAGATGGTGTCAAGGGCTCTAGAGCAGATTAGGTTAATTCTTTGTCCAACTAAGGGAATTTGGGTAATTAATTGCCTTGCTTTCTTGGCCTATCAGTTCTGAGCTTGTATTTGTAAAGAGTGTAATTAGTAGTTAAAATAGTTAAATGTGTTTATGCTTGCAAGGCACAAATTAATACTGCTAGCTTTAGTGTATTTCCAAATCTTGCTAAAAACATGTTTCTACTAAGGTAACTATTATGACACTTAACACTTTGTAGTACATATTAATACAAGCACAGGAAGACTTGCAGAACAGTTTTAGGAAACTCAAGCATCTCTGGATTTGTAATAAGAGGATCGATTTGTAGGTAGCAAGCTGTTGAAATATTTGCTTCTAGGTCTGTTTAGTATGTATGTCGTTGCAGTTTCTTTTAACAGAGTGAAAAAAAAATACTGTGAAGGTTCAGTTTTAGAAAACCAGTTAAATTATGGATCTATGTTCATATACTGGCTTTTTTATAGTAATACAAAAACTTGTAAGAAGGTAGAAGGTCTTTGTTTTTTCTCTATCTTTGAACTTTTGAAATAATGTGTATAATATATATATAAATACACACACAAGTCAATGAATATACTGTAATGAATCATGAGTGACGGTTACCTAAAATTGTCAGAAACATAGAGAAAATTTTTACTGAGTAACAGGTTTTGATGGCTAACTATTGTAAAATCTTTCTTTCTTAGGTCCTCATGGAAATTACAGTTAAAGGACTTCCTCAGAAAGTATTAGGTTCACCAGCATATCAGGTTGCTAATATGGATATTCTTAATGCAAGTATCTTAAATGTAGTGCAGTGATATGATAAAGATTGTTAAAACAGAAATTCCTTTAGATTTCTTAAAAAATGACATTTAATTGGATTTGGTTGATTAGGTTAAAAAAACTTGTATGCAAAACAATAGATTACTGTGAAAAATTAAAGATGGTGCTGTTCCAGTAGATGAACTATTCTTCTTCCCTGGATTGAATACTGGATTCAAAAAAGGACATTCTCTGTTGGTTTGTATGGAGTAATATTACTGGCTACTGCTAAAATATTTGAAAGCTTAGTAATACTATCTTAATAATGTGAAATAGACTTTGTTGTGTGAAACAGATATTGTGAGTCCAGCAAGTCTAGGTATTTGTGTGTGTGTTTGTTATCTGATACCTCACTATCTTTGATTTCTCACGGAAGAACTATGATCAGAGCATAGAGATGGGTTTTTTTTTTTTTTTGAACATTTGTATTTACTGTTCATTTTATTTTTAATTATGTCTTTGTGTGGATGTGTGTGAGTGCAGTACTTCGAGAGGCTAGGAGAAGGTAGTGTATCGTGGAGCTAGAGTTACAGGTGGTTGTGATCCACCTGATATGGGTACTGAGAACTGAAGCCTGGTCCTTTGTAAGAGCAGAACACAACTCTTCTTGGTTTGTTTGTTTTTTTTTTTTTTTTTTTTTTTGGTTTTTCGAGACAGGGTTTCTCTGTGTAGCTTTGTGCCTTTCCTGGAACTCGCTTTGGAGACCAGGCTGGCCTCGAACACACAGAGATCCGCCTGGCTCTGCCTCCCGAGTCCTGGGATTAAAGGCGTGCGCCACCACCGCCCGGCTCAGAACACAACTCTTTTTTTTTTTTTTTTGGTTTTTTTGAGACAGGGTTTCTCTGTGTAGCTTTGCGCCTTTTCCTGGATCTCGCTCTGTAGACCAGGCTGGCCTCGAACTCACAGAGATCCGCCTGCCTCTGCCTCCCGAGTGCTGGGATTAAAGGCGTGCGCCACCACCGCCCGGCAGAACACAACTCTTAACCACTGAGCCATCTCTTTTTGTAGCCCTAGTTGACCTAGGACTCCACTCTATAAACCAGGCTTGCTTCTTTTTTTTTTTTTTTTTGTTTTTGTTTTTGTTTTTCGAGACGGGGTTTCTCTGTGTAGCTTTGGAGCCTGTCCTGGAACTCACTCTGTAGCCCAGGCTGGCCTTGAACTCACAGGGATCCGCCTGCCTCTGCCTCCCGAGTGCTGGGATTAAAGGCGTGTGCCAGCAACGCCTGGCCAGGCTTGCTTCTAAATCTCAAATTCGCAAGATCTGTGCCTCCCTCCTAAGTGCTGTTGTCAAACCTGGCTTGTTTTGTTTTGAAGACAGGATCTCATTAGGTGTCCCACACTGGCCTTGAACTCAAGATCCTTCTACTTCAGCCTACTGGCTGTCATGATTAAAAGTGTGTGCGACTGTGCCTGGCATTGCGGGTAGTTTTTGAATAAACTTGCTGCTGATTAAAAGTTAGTTTTCATGCTAAAATAAATCATGTTAATGACTGTAGAAAACAAAAACTGTTCTTTTTACTGGGAATTGTGACTTTGTTTTCTTTTCTTTTCAGGGAACTCCAGCTTTGTTCTTAATCCAGTTAATTTTCAGCAATAATCTTTTAGAATGTGGTGTAGCAGATGAAAAGTAAGTTTGTACCTTGTTCTTAAGTCCTGGCATGGTCTCATGAGTCTCAGGATGGCATGGAATCCCTGTGTCAAGAGAATGACTTCAATTGATTTCTCCTCTCTCCACTTGCTAATTTCTAGAAGTGTATCACCATGGCCTTTTTGTTTGTTTGATTTTTGGTGTTTTATTTAGCCCTGTCTAGCCTGGTTGTGTAGAGCAGGCTTCCTTGAATTCAGATCTGCTTACCTCCCATGCCTGATTTTTCCTGCTTTCCTTTTTCATGAAAGATGAGATTCCTTTATTCCGGTATTTCACAAATTTGGTTTTAAAATTAAAAAGTTTTTCCTATTTCAATATCCTGTGTATATACAGCCCAGGTTAGCCTCAGTCTTGTGGCAGTTCTGTCTAAGCCACCAAGCTCAGTTGGTCATTTTGTGTATTGTGATGTGGCTTTGTAGCCAGGCCCATCTCATTCTAGATTTTTTTTGTATCAGATTCCCTAACATTGGGGTTTGCCACCAGGTCTTGTGCCACATTTTTTTTTTTTTTTAAAGATTTTATGTGTGCGAGTGTTTTGCCTGCATGTATGTCTGCACCATGTTTATGCCTTAGCGCTATGGAGGCCAGAAGAGGGTATCAAATCCCTTGGATGTGTGGAGTCATGGATGGTGACAGTATGGGGACCTGGGAACTGTAACCCAGCCCCTGGAAGAACAGGTGTTCTTAATTGTAGAGTTTTGTTCTCATTTTTGCTATAATTCAATATTTGGGGGAGGGGGTAGTTTGGGTACATAACTACTCCAGCACCTACAAACTTGAAATAAGAGGCTGATAGTGGTGTTAGAGGCTGGGGGATAAATAATAAAACAGACAGAAATTAATCATTTCTTGTGTTCAGCTGTCAATTTTAGAATTTTGCTAATGCATAATGTCTTCCTGGATGAAATACTCTGATCCATTGTTCCTATTTTTTAGGTTTTTTCTCAATCTAGAAACACTGGTAGGATGTGTGCTTTCTGGTCCGACTTCACCATTGGCTTTCAGTGATTCTGTATTAAGTGTCATTAATCAGAATGCAAAGCATTTGGCAAACAAGGAGCATCTCTGGAGAATGTGGAGTATTATAGTCACTCCACTGACTGATAGGATTCATCAGGTACGGCACGTCTGCTCTATCCCCTCACCGGGGTCTGGACTAATACTTAGAAAGCATGGTTAGAGATCAGGCTGGACTTCTGCCTGGCGTAGTCTTCCTGCCTCTGCTCCCTCAGTGCTAGGAGGTTACAGGCTTGTGCCACCATGCTAGTCCCCTCCACACCCCCCAGGTATGAGTTTAAATAAAAATAACTGTTTGAAACATTTTTTTAAATGCAGTTTGGGATTGATCTGTGTATTTGATTCCATTTTTCATAGTGTAACAGCTCCTTATCCTATAGTAGTGCTGATAAAACTGTTTATCTGGGTCCTTTTTCCTCATTTTTGGTTTGTGTCAGTATCTCCTGTGTAGCCTATGCTGGCCTCCCACCTCCTGCGACTTTCTGCCCCATCCTCCCAATATTTTGATCGTTTGAATACTTACATTGAAGTATACCAGATAGGAACAGTGAAAAATGGTCTTTGTTTTGTTGTTGTCCTCTGGAAACAAACTTATCTGTAGCCAAGCCGGCTTTATGTCCTGGCTTCCCAAAGCTGCCCTTAGGTTTGCTTATGACACCTGACCTGTGATTACTTTCAATAGGTTATATGTATAGAGTCAAGCCGTAGTGCCTCCGCAACATTTAGCCTTCTCTTAAGTTTGGAATCTATTAAGAGTAGAATAGTTTTTACATTTTGTAAGTTTCGAGTACTATTAATAAGATGTAGAACACAAGTTCACTTTTGTGTTTTTGTTGTTTTGGTATATTTTGTTTGCTTTTGATACATAAGTTCAATTTTTTTTTTTTTTTTGAGTATTCTTTAGGTTGATTTTAAGTAACTCATGGAATGAAAACTCCACAGGAGATTTTTACAAAAGTCTGCTTTTTAAGCTAACACTCTCCTGGAAGGAAAGTAGATTATATTTCTAAGAATCTCACCTTGAATGGTAGCAGGGGTCCTTTATGAGTCTATTCGTCTGACTAATGTTTTAGGAATTGTTTAAGGTTCTGTGTTTTTCGTTTTGAGATGGTGACTCTCTAGCAGCTTTTCCTAGAACTCAGAGTAGCCTAGGTTGGCCTAGACTCATGGCAGTCTTCCTTCCTCAGCCTTCTAATGCTGTGATTACATGTGTGAGTTCTAACTTCTAGATTGGGAGCTATGGGTTGTTTCAGAAATTAAAATCAGTGTCTTAGTTAGGGTTTCTATTGCCGTGAAGAGACACCATGACCACGGCAACTCTCACAAAGGAAAACACTTAACTGGGGTGGCTTACATCTTCAGAGGTGTAGTCTATTATCATGGCAAGGAGCATGGTGGCATGCAGGCAGACATGTTACTGGCTACATCTTGATGAAAAGGCAACAGGAAGTGGACTGAGTGTCACATGGATTGAGGCTTGAGCAAAGGAGACCTCAAAGCCCACCCCTGCAGTGACACACTTCCTCCAACAAAGCCGCACCTCCTAATAGTGCCATTCCCTTTGGGGGCCATTTTTTTTTTTTTCAAACCACAATCAGTATACTTGGTTTATAGAGGACCTCAGGGTCTCCCTGTCCATGTTTCCACCCACCCCACCCCCAAGGTTTCTGAGAACACCAAATTCACATGAACAGGGGGTGAAAACAGGAGAATTAATTTGTTTTTTAAATTGTTGTTTTATGTTGTTAAGTATTAGAGTCAAGACCAAGGGAAAAATTGTACCTCCAAATAATCACTGGGCTATACTTCTAGCTCTAACAATAAATAGGAACCTGTGCTATCAGTTCTGAAGACTAGAAGTGGTTTTTTTGTTTTGGAGCCCTGAGAGAATCTGTTGCCTTCCTCTGTTAATAGTGGTAGCCGGCAGTGCATGACCTTAAATTGTATCCACATAATTTCGGGTGTCTCCCATGGTAGTCAGATTGCCATTTGTTGGGTGTGACATCACCATACTTGAGTATGACCTCATCTTGAGTCTGCACAGGTCTTTAGTTCATCTCAATAAGGTCATACTTGTATCTAAGGGTAGAAGCGTAACATCTCTAGAATGGGTTCTGGTAGAACAGTTTGTTCCATGTGAGTTATGTTACCAGGTAGGATTAAAATTAGATGGTAATTTAATTATGTATTTTTTTGTTTCAGACCAATGAAGTGAATCAAGGTGATGCCTTAGAACATAATTTTAGTGCCATCTATGGTGCATTGACTTTACCAATAAACCATGTTTTTTCAGCTCAGACATTTCCCATGGTAAGAATGTATATTGTTTGTATAAGGGGTTTGTGCCTTTCTGGAAACACTGCCTTTATATATGATTAGCACCAGCTCTAATTTTCCTTGCAATTAGAATTGTGGGGTGGACGAATATTTGTGGGGAGGCAGAGAAGACAGTGCAATGAGGCTTCTTTGATTTTTGACCTTTGATAATTTCTGATACTCATCATATAGAACTTAATAGGGGAGATAACAGCTTATAACAGATCGCTCTGACACTTAAATGTTTCATTCTTTTTCACAGTCTTAAAGATGTATTAATCCTGTTATATTTGGTCCATTGGTGTTAGTTTACCCGATTTCTTTTTGGTTAGGCTACCATGAAGACTTTACTTAAGACGTGGTCAGAGCTATATAGAGCATTTGCACGCTGTGCTGCTCTGGTGGCGACAGCAGAAGAGAACTTGTGCTGTGAGGAACTTTGTTCTAAGATACTGTGCAGCGTGGAAGATGAAATCCTCTCGGTGAGTTTCCCCTGTAGTGTACATTTGTAAAGTGGAGATAACACTAAACAGTGAACAGTGGCTGGCAGCTTCTGTATAAGAGGTCCAGTTCATGTAGAAAACACAAGCCTTGGGTGCTTCTTTATCTTAACCTCAGTCTAAGCTTTCCTTAATGTCTTTGTGCTACAGTTCACCTTCCTACTGATTAGTTCTGAAATTCTTCTCTACATCAAAGCAGGAATCTTGGTTATGCCCAAGTTAAAATCCCTAAATGATAAGGAGAGCGAGCACAGCCTGCTAAGTTGTGGCTGCATGGAGCTGTGTGTCTTGTCTCCCTTTTTTTGCTACAGGCTATGTGAGATCATCCTTTGTAGAACTTACTGGATAGAAGTAGTTGGCATGGAAAGGAAAGCACATTGAACAGCTTTTTTCCTTCTGAATGGGTCAAAATTCCGGAGGGTAGGCTCAGCCCTTGCCTGTTCTGACACGCAGAGAGAAAGTTGATGGGCTTTGGCTATTAGAGAGATGGCTGAATCAGACTTTTTCTGCAGTACTTGGGCTGGCAGCTTCACTATGTTCTCTTCTGCCACTTGGTTGATGTTTCTGACCTTTGACATTCTGGTGAAGAGGCCCGAACTCCTATATGACTTCCCCAGCCATGGACTTTTGACCAGGCTTTCTGGGCCAGGCATGAAATGACCTCAGATCCAACCAGAAAGCAATTAGTTACTGTAATAGCAGTACATAACTGTTCTTTCTGTCCCCTTGCTGGGGTTGGGCATGCTCTACCCCACAGCTGCCATTGGTCAGACTTGCTTATCATTTCAGAGCACCAGTTCTTCCTTTGTGTGGATGTTTTGTTGCCTGATTTTGATTATCCCTTCCTATTTACTGTTTGGAGTTTGGATTGTTCTGTTTTTCCTGAGTCTTTTGGTGCATCACTAAGTTATTGATGTGATCTCACATTTTGATAGAGGTCCTTCCTTATACTGTAACTTTCCTCATGACTGTCCTTTATTTTCATTTTCTTTCAGTTCTAGGAATTTTAAAAATTTAATTTCTATTGTCTTCAGTGGTTGAATTGTCATTCATTCAGTGGTGTGTTGTTTAGTCTCTATTTTTTTTTAATAGTTTTGCTGTTGATACCTAGCTTTAGAATACAGGATGTTATTTTAATTTTGTTACCTGTTGAGACTACCTTTGTGTCCTACCTAATTAATTGGTGATCAATTTTGGAGGAAGTTCCATGAACACTGCTGAATAGAGTGTGTGTTTGTGTATTCCTCAGTGTTTATGTCTATCTGTAGTGTTGAGTCCATTTGCTGTATGGTGTCAATAAACTCTAGTATTATTCTGTTTAGTTTTTGTCTAGATGACCTGTCTATTGAAAGTGTATTGAAGTCACCTTTTATCACTGTGTTGGGGTTGTCTGTGGTTTTACATCTAAAATTTTTTTTAAATGGGTTTGATTGTGTTTGCATATGTTTAGGGTTGTAATGTCCTCTTGGTGTGTTGTGTGAAGTGATCATATCTCATTTGAGTCGTTTTGGTTTGAAGTCTGTTTTGTCAGATCTTAGAATATACTAAATCCATTTGTTGGAATACCTTTTTACTTTTACCTTTAAGTGGTTTCTTTTTCTTTTTGGTTTTTTTGAGACAGGGTTTCTCTGTGTAACAGTCCTGGTTGTCCTGGAACTCACTTTGTAGACCAGGCTAGCCTTGATCTCACTGAAATCTGCCAGCCTCTACCTCCCGAGGGCTGAGATTAAAAGGGCTGGGATTATAGGTGTGTGCCGCTGCTGCCGCCACCCAGCTAAAGTGGTTCCTATCTTTGGTGAATTATGTTTCTTGGAGGCAGCAGAGATGGATCCTATTTTCTAACACCATGTGCTACTTGTTCTTCTCTTTAGACTAAAGTATTTTCCTTGTAGAACTCACTTGGTTAGAAATTCCTTTCATCTGTTTCTCATGAAAGGGTTTTATTTCTCCTTTCAGGGAGGGGTGATAGCAGTTTCACTCACAGAAATCCTCCTGCTTCTGTCTTCTCAGTGCTGGGATTAAAGGTGATGCCACCATGTCCAGCTTTTGATTTTGATACTTTTGCTGAGTATGATAGTTTTTGTAGACAGTGGAGACTTTTCAGAACCTGGAAGGTGTCTTTCTGGGCACTTCTGGTTTTAGTCATTTCTGTTAAGTAAATAGGTGTTAGTCTGAGACTTGGATTGTTTCACTTGCAGCTTGTCAGTATGCTTTCTTTGTGCTCCCTCTCCCTTCCCCCGAGACAGTTTCTCTGTAGCCTTGGCTGTCTTGGAACTAGCTTTGTAGACCAGACTGACCTCAAACTTGGATCCATCCATCTGCCTCCCATGTGCTGGGATTAAATATGTGTGCCCCTGGCACCTGGCTTAATGTTTTTAAAAACTGTATATTATGGGGATTTTATTTATTTTTAATTTTTTTGGAGTTCTATTGACTTTTACCTGATGGGCATCTTTTTTTTCTAGTTGTAGAAAATTTTCCTCTGTAATTTTTGAAAATATACTCTGTGACCTTGATAAGGTAGTCTTTAATGGCCATAATCTAAAAGTTAGGTCTTTCCATGGTGCCCCAAAGTACTAATATTAGTGGATTATTTTGTAAATTTATCATTACCTTCACTAAGTGATCCAGTTTTCTACCTTTTCTTCAGCCCTTATGCTGTTTTGCATATAGTTTATTCCTTTAGTAAGGCTTTCCATTGAGGTTTTTATTGGCTTACAGAACTTTTCCCAGCATCATTTCAGCTTGGCTTTTCTTCAGTAATTTACATCTTTTTATTGAATTCTGTTTCATGTCTTGTATTGACATCCACATTTCATTCATCTTTGTTTTCATTCTCTGACAGTATAACCATTGTTTTAAATTTCTTTGAGGTCCTTCCAGGTTGTTATTTGGATCCATTAAAATGGGATTTATTTTTAGAGAACACATGCTATCTTGGACTTGTTTGTTTCTGTGCTTGTACTTAGCATCTGTAGTTAGTTGAATGGAAGTTTGGGTGTGGGGCTGAGGGTCTGAGGACTGGAGGATCAGGGACTGGAGATCCCTTTTCTGTTCTGTGGAACACTATGGAAGTTTAGAATTTGAACTTCTGATTTTCTCTCCCCACCTCCTGAGTTCTGGGGTTACAGCTGTGACCTACTGTACCTGGCTTACTTGATCAGGCTTCATGCATGCTATGCAGGGACTCTACTGTACCAACTGACTTCAATTACTCTCCTGTTGATTTTATTTTAAAATTTACTTTTAGGGTGGGAACATGGGAACCTGTGATGTAACACTTGTAGAGGCCAGAGAACAACTTTTGGGAGTTGATCTTTCCCTTCCACAATAGGTTCTGGGGTTGAATTTAAGTTGTCAGATTTGTGTGGCAATTGCTTTTATTTCCTAAGCAGTCTTGAACCCCTCTCCTTGGTGGGTGTGAGGATATATGTGTGAGATGAAAGTGCCTGGGAGTGTGATACTTACGTGCATATAGAGGCCAGAGGAGGACATTGGCTGTCTTGATCTATAATTCCACCTTATTCCCTTAAGACAGGGTCTCTGGAGCCTTTGTTACTGTGCCTGGATGTATAACTTTGACACTTAGCAGTTCTCATCTCCAGTGACTGACTAGATTTTTCTTTAATTATTACATTATACTGTGTGTGTGTGTGTGTGTGTGTGTGTGTGTGTGTGTGTGTGTGTGTGTGTGTGTACATATACGTGTACACGTTAGTGTACTTTTTGTATTAGTGTATCTTTTGAAGTCAGAAGACAACAAGACAACTTGTGGGAGTCAGTTCTCCTACCATATGGGTCCTAGGATTGAACTCAGATTGTTAACTTTGGTAGCGTTTTTACCCACTGAGAAATCTCACCAGCCGCTGCCGCCTCCTCCTCCTCCTCCTCCTTGGGGGGGGGGGGGGGCGGGCGGCGGCGCAGGGTTTCTTTTTGTATCCCTGGCTGTCCTAGAGCTCACTCTGTAGACCAAGCTGGCCTTGAACTCAGTGATCTGCCTGCTTCTGCCTCCTCTGTGTTCTGGGATTGAAGGTGTAGGTCACCACTGCCTGGCTCTTTTTGGATTTTTTAACATGGTAACAGGGACATCAATTAAGCACAGTGCTTATTTGGTGAATCCTTATCCCCATAGTGTTTGCACAAACATTCGGATATGATGCTGAGTATTTCTGGATTCCTTTGACCTTGACTGCTTTGTTGAGCCTGGTATCAGTTCCCACTGTGGAATCCTGTCTCTGTCATAAAATATGTTTGGATCTTTGAGAGTGCTTAAGAAGTACTCTCTGAATCCTGTAATTCCATGGAGGCCTTGTGAAGGCTGATGGTTCACCTTGTTGGTGGAGAATGCCTTTCTTCTCTGTACCCTTCTTTGTTGGAGGCATTCATTCTGCATGCCCCGAAAAGTAGTAGCTGGAGAGATTGTGGCAGGGGAAAGCCATATTACCTTGTTTGTTCTTGTTTTCTACCAGCCTCTGCTCCACTTTTTCAGTTCTATCTTTATTTCTTTTGGGTTAGGAATGAGGAAGAAAGGTAGAGGAGCTTATGTAGTGGTTGTTTTGTTGTGTTTGTATTCACGGGGCTTAATATAATTTTCAAGACTTATTTCATTTTTTAAAAATGTGTGTGCACGTGTGTGTGAGTGCCCAGGGAGGGTGGACGATCCTCTGGGACCTCATATAGTTCTGTATTTTCTGTACCAGCAAGTGCTTCCACAGCTGAGTTGTCACTCTAGTTTTGAGGGTGGGTTTTTAGGTAAAGCTATGGCAAAGACCTTGCACACATCCCAAGCAATAAATAAATGAATGGAATTTATTGGTGGATATGGCTTCCTTTGGATACTGTGAAGATCCATGGTTTTCCCTGAGTGAGAAGCACAGTGTTTGCCAGAGAACATCTAACTGGGATGTATTTGTAGCACGAATAATGAAAAATTTTTGTGTATATTGACTGTTACTTGAGTACTATTATTGTAGTAAGATTTTCTTATTATGATACTTAAATTTTTTCCTAGGATTTGTTATTCTTGGACAGGATCTCTCAAGTTATTAACGTAATGGTTGATTGTATCGACTTTTCACCATATAATATTAAATATCAGCCCAAAATCAAATGTAAGTACTTTCTTTACCTTTGTTTATACAATATTTCATAGCATTTCAGAGAAAGTTCTTTTTTTATTTTGTTTTGTTTTTTGAGACAGGATTTCTCTGTAGCTTTGGAGCCTTTCCTGGAACTCTGTAGCCCAGGCTAGCCTCAAACTCAGAGATCTATTAGCTTGGGACTTTATGTATAGCTCATAACGTTCTGGAATTTATTTGTTGGTGAGTCTTCTGTGATTACAGTCATGATCTTCCTTGGCTGCCAATCACTATGATTTCTGAAATGATCACAGTGTTTTCATTTGATTACATTAATTAGTTTGTATCAGAAGTCAATTTCTTACCAATTACATCATGAAATTCCTATTTTAAATTGTCGTTCTCATAATATTTATTTCACAATTATTGAATAGAATTATAGTTTGAATTCTAGATGTATAGATAACATGTTCTAATATAACAGCTCAAGCTATCAGTGTGGACTTCTGGATTTTTTTTATGTTTGGAGGTCACCACAACATGTGGAATGGTATTAAAGGGTCACAGCATTAGGAAGGTTGAGAACCACTGTTCTATTTCTTACTACTAAATTTTTTGAGACAGTATTTCACTAATTGACTAGACTGGCCAGCAAAATCCTAACCTTCATTTTCCTGTTTCCTCCTTTCAGCCTTATATAACACGATATTTAGTCTCCTGCGCTTTTTTGTTTTGTTCCCTCTTTTGTAGATACCATTTACTTTCTATAAGTTCTTTGTTTGTTTGTTTGTTTGTTTTTCCGGAGCTGAGGACCGAACCCAGGGCCTTGTGCTTGCTAGGCAAGCACTCTACCACTGAGCTAAATCCCCAACCCCCCCCCCCCCCCCCAAGTTCTTTTCTTCTCTGTGCGGGGGGATCAAACCCCAGAACCTTTGCTTGTTAGAAAAGCACTTTATTACTGAATGACATCTTTTTCTTATAGTATTTTGACAAATTTCCACTGTTTGAGTTTTTCAGAATATTCAACTATATCTTGTACTTTTCCTACAGCCTGGAATTATTTCCCCCAGAAACATAGTTCTTTTTATCTGAGACTGGGATATAAAAATCCATAGCAACTCATTGCTACTAAGGTACCATTGTTTCTGAGTCCTCTTACTGAGGAAAGCTGTGTTACCTGTTTCTGTGGATATGCTTCTGGCTGCCATGATTCTGCATGGTTCTTGCTGCATTGTACCTAACCAATTTAAATGAGAACATTGCTGCCGGTATTCTAAGTATATAGACAGGTAAAATTTGGTCAGGCAATTTTTGTGAGTTCCTGACATCCCCTGGCACCCCAGACTTGACATTTGTACGAGAATTTCTAAGTTGTATTTAAACATGCTTATGTTGAAGAAACTGATCCTAGAAAGAATGATTTGACATTTTTAGTAGCAACCCTGGTTTTAATTCACCTTGAAGCTAGTAAGGTATGAGTTAAACTTTCCCCTTCCCTTAAATATGGGCTTTCCTAAGACTTGATTGTCTTACAAAAAGAAACACGTAATTTTGGAATAAGAATGACTTTCAGGGCCGGGCGGTGGTGGCGCACGCCTTTAATCCCAGCACTTGGGAGGCAGAGCCAGGCGGCTCTCTGTGAGTTCAAGGCCAGCCTGGTCTACAAAGTGAGTTCCAGGAAAGGCACAAAACTACAGAGAAACCCTGTCTCGAAAAACCAAAAAAAAAAAAAAAAAAAAAAAAGAATGACTTTCAGGGCAAGAGAAACATGGGTTTTGTTTTGTACCTGGAATCTGGAGAGAAATGATTGAGGAGGGACCGTAAAGGAAAATGTGTGCTTTGAAGTAAATGTTACAGTCTATAAAATCTATAACTAGAGTTTCTTTGAATTCTCTAATTATTTCCAGGGATCAATGAATTGTATGTAGATGATCCAGGCTTATTAATTTCTATTGAAATCATTTATTATTGAAAACCCATGGTGATGTAGCTTTGTTACTTCATTCATGTGGTTTAGTATTTATAAACTAGTTGTTGAAATTCTGAGGAAAACAGAAATTGAAAAGTATTTTATAATACCCTAGGAATTCTTTTTTTCTGGGATTATTTGAGATCTGCTAGCTCTTTTCTGTTGCATTTGGTTTTCATTTCTAAAGCTACTCTATTGATATTTATTCAATAATGCTTTAATCATTTGAAGGTTTATCTGAGGTGTTAGTTAACAAGAACATGTATATTTGATGTATTTAGCATTTGAATGCAAAATGTAAAAGTGATAGTGATATATATCAAAGTACTTAAGTTTTTAATTAATCCAATTGTGTCTTAGCACCACAGAGATCTTCAGATTGGTCCAGAAAGAAGAAGGAACCCCTTGGGAAATTGACTTCTTTATTTAAGCTAATTGTGAGAGTGATCCATTCTTTCCACACTCTGAGCATCAAGGAAACATATTCTGACACACTGCTTACTATTGGTAACTCTGTCATCAGCATGCTGTCCAATATATTTGGACATATTTCCTTGCCATCTATGATCCGTGAAATATTTGCCACTTTTACAAGACCTCTGGCTTTACTATATGAAAACTCAAAGTAAGTATTTTCATCTTATTCATGTTAATTAAGTAGATAAAATTCTTTTTGTATATTTTGCATGTGTACATGTTCATGTAGATCTCATACATGTAGAGATCACAGACTGCCTTCTATTAACTCTCTACCTTGCTTTTTGAGACAGGGCCTCTCACTAACTTTGAGCTCCCCAATTCCAGCTGCAGACTCTAGGAAGTACCAGATATCCTCTTTAGTGCTAGGGTTGCAAGTCTGTGTGTCCTCATATCTGGCTTTGTATTCAGGGTCTGGGGGTCCAGACTCAAGTCCTCTTGTTTGTGTGACAAGCATTTAACCAAAAAAGCCTGTCTATCTTCTCAGCCCTAATATGTGTAATTTAATATAATTAGTAACTTCTGCTTTCCTCTCAACTTCATTGTCCTGGATGGTGTTCTAGAATAGATCTGTATATATTCTAGAATGTAGAAGTTGGAGATGGGACTAGAACTACTATTCCATTTGACTTTTTTTTTCCTTCTCTTGCACTTTTCAGTTTTGCATGTGATTTTTGTAATTGTTTATACAAAGAAACATGCTTATTAAATGTATTATAATACAGATCTATTTGATATGATATTATGCAATTGAATACACTGTATGCAATTATATACATGGAAATCTCATTTTCTTAAACTCTTAACCCAGTTTCTGACCAGTGAATTCCCATGGTTCTTTATCCAGCTTTTTCTGTCAAGATACACTGAAGTATTATTTGTCCATATGTCAGTTTGTATTGATCATGATGTCTTTTGAGCAAGGTTCTTTATTTATTTTGTTTGTTTTGTTTTTTGGTTTTTTTTGTGTTTTTTGTTTTTGAGGCAAGGTCTCTTTATGTAGCTCTGACTGTCCTGGAATTCACTGTGTAGACAGGCTGGCCTCAAACTCACAAAGATTTGCCTGCCTCTGCCTCCAGAGTGCTGGGATTAAAGGTGTGCGTCATCACCACCTGGCCACAGATTTTTTTTTTAAGTCATTATTTTATTAAAAGTGTACAGGAAGAAGCCAGAGCGATGGCTGAGCAGTTAAGAGTGTTTGTTGCTCTTATAGAGGGCTAGAGTTTAGCTCTCAGCCTCCACCTTGGGGAGGCTTAAACTGCTTGTACCCCCAGCTTCAAGTAATCCTTTCCTTTTCTGATCTCTGCCTCTTCCTTGGCCTCCACAGGTACCTGCCTACACTTTTAAAAAAGTGTGTAGGGGTCTGGTGAAATAGTAAGCGCTAGCTAACGTACACAAAGGCCCCGGTGCCATTCCTACCCCTGCACAAAGAAAAGACAGGAGATGGACAGTAGTTACCATGAGCACTTGAAGTCTGTTCTAGGTGTTTGTAAAGATTCATTTAAATGTTTATATGATTACTTCTTGCTTGACATTTGGCAATCTTTTCTTATTCTTGGGATATTTTACATTACTGTGAATGTTTCTCCTTTTGTTTTTATGACTCTGTTCTTCTCTTTGAGGCTTAGCTTGATAACTAACTAGTGCAGTGATGGCCTCTTAAAATATAAATGGTAATGGTTTTACATCTGTCTTCCCAGGCTTGATGAAGTTCCTAAAGTGTATAATAGTCTGAACAACAAGGTAAGTAGATAGTGTCCATAAAATATACTTAATGAGGACAGCATATGGTTTATGCAGTTATCTTTCTTAAACATAATTGATTTTAAGTGGTTATTATTAGTATTTTCCATTTATATATACATTTGGTATGTGTGCATGCGTGCCGTGGAGGTCAGAGGACATGTGCAGGAGTTGATTTTCTCCTACACTGTAGGTTCCAGGGACCGAAATCATGCCCATCAGCCTTAATGGCAAGTGCCTTCACTCCTTGTCATCTTACTGCATTACAAAATTTTTAAAATTTACGTGCATATGTGTATGATTATGTATAAATTATGCTACCCTGGAGGTCTGAAAGAGGTCAGATCCCCTGGAGTTAGAGTCACAGGCAGTTCGGGTGCTGGGAACTGAATTAAGGACTTCTGGAAGAGCAGCAAGTGCTGTTAGCCACTGAACCCCCAGCCCCAGTGCTTCATTTGCAATGATCATAAAACAATAAGGTATGGATATATTCTTAGGTAGCTGAGTTTTTTCTTTAGAATTTACCATTATTTTAAATTCATTAAATTCTTGGGTCTTATCCCTTTTTATATGAAGATTGTTGGCTATAATATTTTATTGATAAATTGTGTAGAGTTATTAATTACCATTACAACTAATAAAACATTTTTCCTGTTAACAAGAAATAGCTTCAAATTAAATTACAATATTAGTACTCAAAGTAAATTTATCTGATTGTTTGTTTGTTTATTTATAAAGAGGAATGTATAGTTATAGTGACTATGGTGTTGCTTAAAGATGGTCCAGATTTGGGGCTAGAGAGATGGCTCAGCGGTTGAGAGCACTGATTGCTCTTCCAGAAGAGCTGGGTTCAACTTCCACATGGCAACTCACAACTGTTTGTTACTCTAAGATCTGATACTCTCACACAGACACACATGCAGGCAAAACACCACCACACATTAAATAAATAAATAAATGCATACATACATACATACATACTAAGATGGTCCAGATTTTAAAAATTGAAATAGTAACATGTTCTATAAATTTGTGTTTAGTATACTTTTTGCTTCTCCCGCTCTTTCCTAGTTAGAAAAGCTATTAGGAGAAATCATTGCTTGTCTACAGTACAACTACCCTGGAGCCTACGACAGTGAACTTCTTGGACAACTTTCTCCACTTCTGTGCATAGTATTTCTTCACAAGAATAAACAGATTCGGAAACAGAGTGCTCTGTTGTGGAATGCTACATTTGCTAAAGCGACAGCTCTGGTTTATCCCGAGGAATTAAAGTATGTTAGCATCACAACTTCCTATAGTTGCTTGCTCCATTATGATCATGTAAACCTGTATTTGGGTTCTAGCAGAAACTTCACATAGAGTTTAATTGTATCATCAGGCTATGTAGTAGCCATTAGACTTGGGTTGACTTCTATTAGACTTCACATTTTGGGGAACCAGTATATGTACTGGAAAAATACTTAAACAAGGGCAGAGGATTAAAGTTTATTAATAAATCCAGACATGGGTAGTAATATTTAACTTTTTTCTTTTTTCTTATTTTTTTTTTTTTTTTTTGAGAAGCGATCTCTACATAACCCTGGATGTCCTGAAACTCAAGGTGTAGATGGGACTGGTCTCAAACTCAGAGATTCATTTGCCTGTGCCTCCTGAGTGCTAGGATTAAAGGCATATGCCACAACATCTAGCATATCCTAAAAGCAAATTGAGAAAAAATTATTTATATGAATAAGTGGTTTCCTTATATGTGGATTTGTGCACCACTTCAAAGTCTGGTCCTTGTGGAGGCCAGAGGTCATTCATTGTCTTTATTGAACTGGATTAGACTGTGAGCTGCCAGGTCCTTTGGAAGAGCAGTCAGGGATCTTAACTGCTGAGCCACCTCACTAATTCCTAATAATGTTTGAAAAAATAATAATGTTTTAAAAAATGTGTATGAGTATTTTACCTACATGTATATCTGTATACCATGTGCATGCCTGGTGGTAGTTTTGGAGGCCAGAAGAGGTTCCTGGATCCCTGTAACTGGAGCTAGGGGTGATTGTGAGACACCATGTGGGTGCTGGGGATTGAACCTGGGGCCTCTGGAAGAGCAGCCAGTGATCTTTTTTGTTTTTTGTTTTTTCAGACAGGGTTTCTCTGTGGCTCTGGGTGTCCTGGAACTCACTCAATAGACCAGACTGGCCTCGAACTCACAGAGATCCACCTGCCTCTGCCTCCTGAGTGCTGGGATTAAAGGGGTGCGGCACCACTGCCTGACAGCACCAGTGCTCTTAACCGTTAAGCCATCACTCCACTTTGTTTTTTAATAGGTTTTGAGTTTGTTTATTTTGAGACAAGTTCACACTTGTAGCATAGTTTGACCTTGAACACTTGGTGATGTGTCTCACCTTCCCCTGTGCTGGAATTACAGACACAAAGCCTATTATGCCTTGCTTGAAAGTTAGGAAGTTTGGGGATGCTGTGAAAAGTATAGAGAAAAAATCCTAGTGTTTTCTCTTTTCCCCAGTGTTGTAGTCGTGTAAGTAAGAAACATAAATCAGGTATACTTGCTACATTTATAAATATAAATATAAACAATTATAAATAGGACTAGTGCCATAATTGGTAGAATGTTAACTTAGCATGCCTGAAACCCTGGGCTTTATTGCCATCACAGCATAAACTAGATGTGATGGCTGCATAAGTTCAAGGTCATAGAGCTAAATCACAAGTTCAAGGCCAGCCTGGGATTCATAAGAACCTGTCTCATAATTAAAGTAATATTGTTAACATTTACTAGTATACTTTACTCATTATCTATGTACTTTTTTTTTAAAGACCAATATTAAGACAAGCCAAACAAAAAATTTTGCTTCTGTTGCCTGGTTTGGAAAATGTTGAAATGATGGATGAATCCAGTGGGCCATATTCTGATGCAGTAAGTTGTTTTTTAACTTAAATTTAAGTAGTTTGGTATAAGTAAGCAGCAATAATCAGAACTTGAACAAGAAAGAATTCAATAATACCACCTTTTCCTCATCCCACCTGAAGCTTTCCATTCAGGAACAAGTGTGAACTTTTGTTTTAGAGTCAGAAGAAAAAAATACAGTGGCTTACTATGGGTTTTGTTGTTGCTGTTGTTTGTTTGGTCTAAAAGATTCTCAACAGAGAAAACAGCTTATTACTATTTGTTCAGCTTAATTTAACATCAAAATTGTACATTCTGGTGTAAGAGAAAAATGTTGGATACATTTATGTTCTCCATTCTACATGGGGTTTATTTATTAACCTTTATTCTGGAATGTTGGAAATTTCGTATTTTTTTTCTAAATTTTAAGACTGATGTGTAAGTATTTGAGTCTAGTAATTTGATATACTTTGTAAGTGTTTTCAGAATTCACAAAAGTAAAGGCTGTAAATCTGACTGTAGAAGGAGATAAGTATCTTTGCACAGTATCTTTATTTTCCTTTGTTTTCAGTAGATTTGAATAGTCAGAAACTTTATACCATTTAAAATGAATAATCATAAAGAAGCAAATAGACATATAGTTAATGTGTTCAATTTTATCTTAATAGACAGAAAATTCACAATTAAATGTCAAGATAAGTGGCATGGAAAGAAAATCAAGTGGAAAAAGAGATTCATTTTTGGCACAGACAAAGGATAAAAAAGAAAATATGAAGCTGTCGACCAAAGTATGTTTTCAAAATTATATTTACTGGGATTTAAATAATGCTAGCTAGCTAGCTTAAGGACACAAAACTCTTATTTGGAGGAAAGAGCTATGGAAGTCCAAACAAATTTTGGGTTTGTGGTGGAATGATAGTGAAGAGAAGGACAGCTATGATAGTGTTTAGAGCCTGGAGTGATTTCTTCTTAGTAAGTAATAGCAAATTCTCAGTATTACATATAGTAGTCTGGGCAGCTTTCCTGAGAGCTGAAAGGATGAACGATCAACACAGTATACTGCATGGCAGTAATTTAGATACTTTGATTAGAACTTTGTGTTGCCTAGGTAGAACTTGTATGTATCTTAACTCCGTAGACTTGCCCCCTAAAAGGCTTACTACTATTTATCTTAATATTAGAGGTAGGAGAAAGTGAAGGCCATTTAATTTCTGACTGTGAATGTTACATTGTTTTATTTATGTGCTTGTAATCTTAACAGTTAGTAGGCTGAGACAGAATCATAAGTTCAGTCCAACCTGAAATAGACCTTATTTATCTTCAGATGAGAAGGGTGTGTGTGTGTCAGTTTCAAACTTGCTAATCAGTATTAAAAAATAATACCAGAATGTTAGAAAACATAGGAGAATTAGAAATAATTTGGAAGCTCATTTACTTTTTAAAAACCTACAGCTGAAAGTAGAATCTTCGTCTCCAAAATTAAAGAGCAGTAATAAGCTTTTGGAAGAGGAAAAATCTACTGACTTTGTGTTCATACCTCCGCAAGGAAAAGAGGGAAAGGCAAGGATTCTGACTGAGCACCAGAAAGAAGTACTCAAGACAAAACGGTTTGTGGGCTTTTTATCTTGAGCTCTATGTAGCTTTGTTGTGAGAACTACGATAATAATGTGTCATCATGCCTGGCCTTGGAAATCTTACTGGGGACATTGGTTATGGGAGGCAAGTGCTCTACCACTGGGCTACAGCTAGCCTGGGTATCCTAAATTTTAATGACAGATGATAGGACTATACATGATAGCATTTAATAATATTTTAATCTACCCAGTAATATGCCCAGTGTTTCTAAGCTTTCTTTTACTGGGGTATGTGTTTATTGGAGAAGGTAATTTCATAGAAAACACTATAAGCTTTTATATGATTCATTAAATACACTTTCATAGAATTCTAACTTTAACTTTTTTTTTTTTTTTCTTCTCTCGGAGACAGGGTTTTTCTGTGTAGCTTTGCAGCCTTTCCTGGAACTCACTTTGTAGACCAGGCTGGCCTCAAACTCACAGAGATCTGCCTGGCTCTGCCTCCCGAGAGCTGGGATTAGAGGCACCCTGCAAACTTTAACTTTTGATGGTGGGGCTGTCACTAAGTTTTTGGAATTATATATGTTTTTTTTTCTAGGTGTGATATTCCTGCCTTGTATAATAATCTGGATGTTTCACAAGATACCTTATTTTCTGCTCAGTTTAGTCAAGAAGAATCTATGTAAGTACAATACTTTTATAACTAGTTTCTTATTTATATAAATAAAAATAATCTAATTTGTACAATTTTTTATCTTAGGGAAAGCCTCACTTTAACTGAAAAACCAAAAGAAGATGCCAAGATAATTAAGGTATAAGCAGTATTGATACTTGAGTGTTTTTAAATTATAGTAAATGTAAATTGTAAAGTGGTGTTATATTTGTTTATTACTAAGATGTGTAACAATCTTCTGAATTGTACATAAATGTGTATTTAAAATACATCGTAAGTGACTTCTGAAGTAAGGGATTAAGATAGTGTTTGTTTAGTTTAGGATGGCCTCGATCTCCTGAGGAGCTGTGCTTCCTCTTAGTCTCCTGCCTCTGCCTCCCACCAGTCTTGGCCTCAGGTATGGCTTTAACTGAACACCATCAGTTTAAAGCACATTGACAGTTCTTTGCTGTTCCTTTTGGAATATTTGCAGTAATTTGAAAGTTAGTGTCTTGAATTACCAGAGTTTATCTTGATTACCACAGTATTATTTTTAAATTTCCTAGCAAAATAATGTTTTACTATGTAATTTGTATGTTTTGTATAGGAGGAACAAATGGAGAGTGCCATTTTCATCTCTCAAGATGCCATGGAAAACAGTTGTGTGGATGAACATCCTGAAAAGGCTTCTTTACCAAATGACTCTGGGTCTGTTGCTGAAACCAATTCAGAAACACTGAGCGCTGGTATTGATGATACAAAAAACATGCTAATTTCGTCAAAGATAATGTCAGCTGAATATTCATCTGGTACAGAAAGTTCACTGGTGGTCAGCAATAGTTCGGTTTATAATGCCACTGTTTCTGGAACTCCTTCACAGCCTACAAGTCGGAGACAAACCTTTATTACTTTGGAGAAATATGATGGTTCAGAAAATAGACCTTTTAGCCCATCCCCTTTGAATAGCATGTCATCCACTGTTACAGTGAGAAATAACCAGGAAAACACAACTAAAACTGATATGCTACCAAAAGCAAGGAAAAGAGAAGTGACTCACTCAAAATCTGACTCAGAAAAACTAGTGAACGGAGGTAAAAAGTCAGGACGGAGATGGAGTAAAGTTGAGCAGTCAACTAATAAAAAGTCTAAGCCTTCACTGAGATCTGAACAGGAGGAACATGCATTAGAAAATAACCCTCCTGATTTGCTCAGTCAAACAGAATGTCTGTCAAATCACGATCATCCTTCTGGAGCTACCCTAGAGCATGAAGATAGAAATCCTAAACCAACAGGAGAAAATGCTTCATTGGAAGACTCCACTACAGAAGAGAAAAACGTAGGCATTAATATGGAATCTAAAGAAAATACACCTCCGGTCGCAGCACCAGCAGATCAAATAGTAAATGAAGAAAGTCAAGCTGTAGTAGCTCCAAATCCAAAAACCCTCAGACGGTCTTCAAGGCGACGTCCAGAAATAGTGGAGTCTTCCAATGACAGCCAAGATAAGGATAATGGTCAACAAAAAAAGGAAAGACGGAAGGAAGAAGAAAAAACAGTTACAAAGAGTCCGTTGCATATAAAAGATGACAAGTTGCCCAAGCAAAAACTAACTGCTGAGTCATCTATACAGGAAAATTTAACCGAAAAAGGAAATAGTTTACATGAGAAAACTTTAGAGGAACCCAGTGCTAATGCTGAAATTGACCAAAATAAAAGAAAACCAGACCATGAGAACATTAGTTCTGAGGGAGGTAGTACCCAGGACAATGTAGATAAGTCATCAGAGAAACCTTTGAGAGGACGTACACGTTACCAAACAAGAAGAGCATCTCAGGGGTTACTATCAGAACTATCAGAACCTGATAGTTCTGAGTCAAAGGAAGAAGTTTCCAGAAAGAAACGATCTGGGAAATGGAAAAATAAAAGCAGTGACAGTGTTGACATTGAAGAACAAGAAGAAAAAATGGTCGAAGAGGAATGTGTAAAAACTGCACATGAGATACATGAGGGTCAGGCAGTTCCTGAAGCTCTTGTAGATGCAGTGGCTCAGATTTGTGAAGAAAGTACCAATAGGGTAATCCTTCAGGAGTCTGCTGGGTCTTCAGATTCCCTGCAAGTTACTGATACCCCAGTTACAGGTGAGGACACAAGTAAGACTAGCAAATGTGTAGATAACTCCTTTGCAAGTCCACCTGTGCCTGAATCCAATCTCAGGACTAGGAATGCCACCAAGAGATTATATAAACGAGATACTGATAGCAGTGTGGGAGAATGCTCCAAAATGGAGACAGCAGACATTTCTGTGCCTTCTGAGAAATGGGCCCAAGCAGTTGAATGCCAACACAAGAGAAGCAGGAGAGTCAGGAGGTCGAAGAGCTGTGACTGCTGTGGGGGAAAATGGCAATCCCAGGAAAAGTCACTTACTGGGTTAAAGAACACAGAGAGTTGTGCTATAAAGAGCATGGAGACAAAGACAGCCGGTATGCGAGCACCTGAGCTTACACCTGACACTGGTGAAGCTAATGAACACGCTGAAACAAAGCTGGTAGATGAACATGCTAGTATGCATTTTCATTTGGGTCTTAAAGAAGAGAACGGTGCTCCTGGTGACTTAGTTAAGTCTGAAACTGGATTGGAAGAAGATCGAAAAAAAGTTGTCCCATCTGAAATAGGAAATATGAAAGAAAAATCTCAGGATACAGATTCTAGTGAAATAGTATCTGAAATCCAAGAGCCAGGCAATGAAAAATTTACTGCTGAAGACCCATGCTTACGTGATTCCAAGGACATTTCACAGAGATCTTCTTTAGATAACAAAGTAGAAAGTCCAGACGCTGTTCTGAAAAGAGAATCTGACATTGGCGATGTCAGGAAGGCATGCAAAGTCATAACTGGATCCAGCTCAGAGGGTGGTGAAGCTATGGAATTAGATGGAGGAAATGACTCGCTTGGAGCTGCCTTCTCTGAAAAGAGTGCCCACATGGATATTCCTGTAGATGTGACAGCAGAGGAAGATAATAAAAAGGATGAATTTGAAGCAGTCACAGCTGAAGTGAATGCTGAAGGAGCAGCCACCAAGGGCTTTAATTCTGCTCTGAGTCTCTGTGATCATGCCACACCTGTAAGCAAGAGTGTCGAGAGTGAGCATTCAGCAAGAGTGGACCTGGAGGATGGTGTTCAGTCTGATTCTGCAAGAGCAGACCTGGAGGATGGTGTTCAGTCTGATTCTGCAAGAGCAGATCTGGAGGATGGTGTTCAATCTGATTCCGCAAGAGCAGACCTGGAGGATGGTGTTCAATCTGATTCCTCAAGAGCAGACCTGGAGGATGGTGTTCAATCTGGTTCTGCAAAAGCGGACCTGGAGGATGGTGTTCAGTCTGATTGCGGCTCCTGTGAGGAAATGAACACAGAAACAGAAAGTTCCAAAGCAGCAGTGGTAGCCCAGTTGAAGATGGAAGTTGGCGACACTGGGGAAGAGGATAGGGGCACGATTGTTAGCACCTCTACGTCTGAAGAAACTCCAGGTGGAAGACCAGGAGTCAAAACTGAGAGCTTTGTTTGCGACACACTTGAAATGAGTTCTGAAGAAGGAACTGTTTGTTACAAAACTGAAACAAACATTGAACTTAAATTGGTTGAGACAAAATTGAGTGACAACCAAAATGTAGTGAATAATGATGTTCTGCAGGAAGTTTGCCTCACTTCAGAGAAAGTGGAGGAATTACCACAGTCTCTGACATCTGAAGTGGCTTCTGAACTGGTAGGAGAAAACAGTAATGCTTCTCCTGAAAAATTAAGAGAGCTGGACCCTTCACTTGGATCAGCAAATGAAAGTCCTAGTGGTATGCAAGCACGCTGTGTCTGGTCACCATTGGCTTCTCCATCCACAAGCATTTTAAAGAGAGGACTTAAAAGAGCCCACGAAGATGAGATCTCATCACCAGTTAACAAGGTAGGAATGATGATGACTAATGAATCTAATGTTTGCTTGGAATATGGGTGAAACCTAGTAAAGGATAGGGAATTAGGGTCATTTGCCATGGTTGCTGTGGGAAGGACAGGAGGCCTTTCATGTAGTCTTGCCTCTCACACTCAAGAACTTGATGTGGGCATAATGGGTGGGTCCTATTAGGACTGTAATGCAATATGTGGAACCAGATTTAAGAAGCCATGCAGCACTGATTGCTGTTGATCGAAAAGGCTATAAGTTCTTGGACATGATGCCTTAGGTCAACTCTAATCCATCCAGTTAAAGACACTGACTCCTGGGCCCCATATTTATATATATACACACACTTTACCACTGAGCTACCTCCCCTAGTCCTTAGTTTTTTGAGTGCTAGGGTTAACTGAGGAGCATGCTGCCAACTGGCTTCTCCCCTGTCCCTTTTCATTTTGTTCATTTTGGAGATTGGGAGAGCCAGTGCACAGCATTGAATATGTTTGGCACATGGCATACACTCTGTCACTGAGAGATTCCCAGGCTTTCATGAAGTTTCATAAAAATTGGATTATCAGGGTAATTTTTACTTTAGCTCTTTCTTGGGCCTTTCTCTTACAGTGTGTTGAATGAATAGTTAAGAAAGATACAACCTCTGCTTAACATAAAACATACCCTCAGCTTAGTGAAACATGTTCTAAAAAGATGTCATGTTGATCTTCACAACTTAATTTTGAAATTAGATCTGATTTTGTACAATGTATATACATGTGTATGTATATAAACACAGCGCTTTGATCTTTGCCTTCAGCAAGGACGCACTTACTTTTACCTTTTCTTGGGTATGAGAACCTTTCTATGTTGTCCAGGCTGACCCTGCAGTGAACTGTCATTCATGCCTCAGCTAGCTAGGGTTATAGTCTTGTAGCATTATAGTCTTGTGATACCACTCAGGGCAGATTTATTGTCTGTCTAAGGCAAAACAGGGTAAACATTTTTATGGCAAATACTTATATGTTGCCTATTCTTGAAAATCAATCCTAGATGATATAGAGTGATATCTCTGCTATATATTTATAGCTAATAACTCAATGTGGACATATTATAGACCTTTAGAAGAAGCCAAATTAGCCACAGTGAGGTTAAAATAGTTAAAATTGCTACATTATGGCCCTGATACTTTTGTTGCCTTCAAAGAGTTTAAGAGCAGGGGCCAGGTAAGTAGCATAGTTAGTAAAGTGCTTGCAAAGCAAGCATGAGGACCTCCGTTCAATTCCCAGAGCCCACATTTAAGATGGAAATCCTGAGCTTGGGGGCATGTGCTAATAAGAATTCCAGTGTTGGGGAGGTAGAGACAAGCATATCCCTGGGGTCTGCGGCTCAGAAAGCTCAGTCTGTTAAGGGATTTCCAGGCCAATGAGACACGCCATTTCACAAAAACAAGTTGTACAACACCTGAGGAACAACCCCCTTCCCTTCAAAGTTGTCCTTTGACTTCCACATGCACACGTCTGTACACACACACACACACACACACACACACACACACACACACACACAAGTTTAGGACAATGATTAATAAGATATACCAGAAACCAGTATTACTGTCTATAGTCTATATAAACCCATTGGCTAACCGAAATCAAATTATACAAGATTCTTACTAATTTAATGAAAGCTTGGCCTTAGCTTAGGCTTGTTTCAAAACTTAGATTAATCCATATTTTTAATTCTATGTTCTTCCATGCGCTCATTACTTCATCTCCATTACACTCATCCTGATTATTCTGTGTCTGACTGGTAACTCTCCTTTCTTCTTCCTAGAGCTCTCCCTTGTCCAGAAGTCCCGCCTATACCTCCTGGCTAGCTATTGGCCATTTAGCTTTTTATTAAACCATTCACAGTGGCACCTCTTAACGCAGTGTAAAGGAATATTCCACAACGTGTATATGTTAGTGGATGCACAAGCCAGTGCTCCTGGTTAGGCCAGAAGAGGGTGAATCAGAACCCTTGGAGCTAGAGTTACAGACTTTTGTAGAACTGGCTTGTTAATGTTGGTGCTAGGATTTGAACTCTAGCTGTCATAATTATACAGCTAGTACTTTAAACCACTAATCTTTCTCTTTAGCCCTTATTTCGGGTTTTTGAGGCAGAGGTCTCACTATGTAACCCCAGACAAGCTTCAATTTGGAAATCTCCTGCCTCGGTGATTATTGGGATTACATGAGTACCCACACTATTCCTATATTTTGTTTTTAGACAGGCTCTCACTATGTAGACCAGGTTGGCCTCAGACTCAAGAAATCTACCTGCCTTTGCCTCCTGGGTGCTGGGATTATACATCACACTCTGCATATTGAATATTGTTAACTTAAAAGTTTGTTTAAAGTTTCTATTACTGCAGAGATACTGGAGGATATAATTAGAATGAGCTGCAGTATTAAGCAATAGCTGAAAGATGGAACAACTGTGCATGAGGCTGCTAGTGAAATAAGTTTGGGAACACTGTCTTGCTTTTGCACAAAGTCAACACATTAGGTAGGGTGTTGTCTTCTTAATGAAAACTTGTCCTGTGCTTTCAGGTTAGACGTGTCTCGTTTGCAGACCCAATATACCAAGCAGGATTGGCAGATGACATTGATAGGCGCTGCTCAGTTGTTAGGTCACATTCTTCAAATAGCTCTCCCATAATAAAAAGTGTTAAAACTTCACCTACTTCACACTCTAAGGTAAGCTATGGACTTTAAAATATACTTTAAAATATTTGAAGATTAAGGAACAGACTTCTTTTGCTTTGATGTTTGCTTTTCATAGAGAGGGCTAAAGCCAATCAGCTATCCCACAGGTAAATCATTAATTTATCCTGTTCCATTTTTATTTCCTAAAATTTTACAAAGGTGAGCACAATTTTAGTTGTACAATTTAAATTGTAACACTATAGTTGTCTGGGGTTCTGAGTTTTGTTTTGTTTTTTTTCTCCACTTTCTTCTATCTAGCATAATACCACTTCAGCCAAAGGATTTCTGTCCCCAGGATCACAGAGCTCTAAGTTTAAGAGCTCAAAGAAGTGTTTAGTAAGAAGTGCTTTAGTTTTTATGTAACTTTATACTTTAATGTTCAGTCCTGCAACCTCTACTTAATGGCTTTTGAAATTTATTTTAAGATTACAGAAATGGCCAAAGAATCCATGCTATCCCCAACAACAGAGAGTGTTTACCCAGCTTTGGTAAACTGTGCGGCATCAGTCGACATCATTTTACCTCAAATTACATCAAACATGTGGTAAGTGGTTAAGTTATAATCGTAATTCATACTCTGAGGTGCAGGGATTTTGTTTGTTTGTATTTCAACTTTATTTTGTGGCATAGTTTTGCTAACATTTCCCAGTTTTGAGGAGGGTATCCAGCTCCTAAGAAAACTGAGGCTGGGGGATCACCAGTTCATGGCCTGCTTAAGTTGAAGTTTCAGTTTTCTGGAGTAATGATGGGAGTAATATGGGGTTAGGGTCGAATGTCCATTGGTAGAGTGCTTGCTTAGCATTAATGAAGATACAGGTTCTGTCCTCAGTACTACATAAGCCAGAAGTGCTGGTGCAGCAACTTTAGGGCAAGTTCAAGAGCATTCTTGGCTACACAGTGAGCTTGAGATGATCCTGAGCTCTGTGTGTGTGATCCTTAAGGACCAGCTCAAGGGCATCTTCTGCTACACAGCAAGTTTGAGGTCAGCCAGAGCTGTTTGTCACAACAATGTGGATTGTTGACTCACAGGGATTAAATTTTCTAGACTTACAATGTGGAGGGGCACAAAAATAAAATCGAGCTTTACCTGTAGGAACCCCATGCTTCACACATGGGTTCTGTGTCTCAGAGTCCTTGGATTTTGGATCCTCTGATCCCTTTATCCACACTAACTGGTATTTCGGGGTTGAATTAACAAGCCTGGCTTAGAAGGATGTTGTAATGGTCAAGCTTTTCAGGTGTTTGCATCTTTTTAAATCCATACCTTGTTTTGTCCTATTGCAAACCCTCTGAGGAATAGAAGTAAAGTAGAATCCTGGGAAGATTAGTTCATGAAAATTGCATAGCTTAAATAAATTGTCATGTAGATTCACATAGAGAGACCTTATTGAGGGTCTTTTCTTTGTGCTTCAATTGAATCTTGTTTGTTATAAATCTTAGAAATGTAATTTATGTATTTTTGAATTTATGTATATGAGTGTTTTACCTGCATGTATGTCTGTACACTATGTGATCCTGGTACCCCTATAGGCTTGAAGAGGGTATTCCATCCCTTGGAACTAGATTCAGTCCAGTGAGCTGCCACATGGATAATGGAAATTGAATCTGGATCCTCTGGAAGTGCAACAAGTGCTCTTAACCACTGAGCTCTCTCTCCAGCCTCGGACTGCCAAATCTTAAGAGAATTGTTGCATATAACATGCTTGTGAAACGAGATAATTTCTTTAATTAATAGCCTGATGAACCATGGCATAATTTCCCAGTAATACTTTGTCTCTATGCCTCTTAAGAATTGTGTCAGACATGCACATAGAAGTTAGAAGGAAGTCACATTAAAAAGGGTCTAGGATAGGATAGGTTAAAAAAAAAAGGACCTGAGCCATAGACAGACAGAAAGCTGATGTGAAGATGAGTTTCCCATCCCTGTTGTGCCTGTCTCTGTATAAATGCAACAGTAAGAACACGTCTATGCTGTTACTAAAGTGCAGAAAACAGAATTCTAGATTTCCATGATTTCTGAAGCTAGGTACACATAGGATTCAAGTTTAAGTCCCCCAGATGTTTGCCCACCACATTGTGTGGGCGAGGTAGACTGTATAAACAAACTCTTTTGAGTTGAAGTGCACAAGTGCTCACAGATGGTTAGTTAGCAGTCAAAGCATAACTGTTTTCTCTTGTTTCTCGTCAAAAGGGCAAGAGGTCTAGGACAGCTTATCAGAGCCAAGAACATAAAGACAATTGGTGATTTGAGTACTCTTACAGCATCTGAAATAAAAACTCTTCCTATTCGCTCTCCAAAGGTGTTTAATGTAAAAAAGGCTCTCAGAGTGTACCATGAGCAACAGGTAAAATCTTGTTATTTGAATGTTTTGTCTGAGTGTCTATCTATGTACCATATGTGTGCAGTGCTTATAGAAGCCTGCAGAAGAGGGCATCAGATCCCTTGGAACTGGAGTTACAGGTGTTTGGATGTTTGTGAGCAGCCCTGTGGGTGCTGAGAAACAAACCCAGGTTCTCTGGAAAAACAGCCAGTGCTCTTAACTTGTGAACTCTCTCTCCAGCCCAAGAGTCGTATTTTAATAAGTGATCCAGCTGGGAATGGTGTCATGCATCTCAGTATTTAGGAAGTAGAGACATTTGGATCGACACTTCTTAAGTGCAGTCTGGGCCACAGAGCAAGACCTTGCCTTAAAAAAAGAAAGGGGGAAAAAACCCCTGGCAAAAAGTGCTCTACGAACAGTAATAAAAGCTTGCATTTAGACTATTGTTTAAAAGCCCTTCTGTATCTCACTGGGAAGATTGTTCCTTTATTTAGTTCTGTTTTTATGTACTATACCCTCGATTCACTTTTAAATTTTATTTTTCAGAATCTGTTATCTTTTTCTCCTTTTTCATTTCTACCAACTGGTTGTTCCATGACTATTTAGGTATTCCTGAAACCTAGGTTCTCAAATCTAAATGTGTCTAAGATTATTGCAGATTTATACATAAATTTCTTTTTAATGTATATATGTAGCTTAGGACAGATTTTAGATTCTAACCCCCCACCCCCCACGAAAATTTTACTTGGCAGAAAGTATTTATTTATACGTAATATGAGGGGTCATGACTTATTCATTGATAGTATTAGAATTGTGGATAAATTAAAACTATATAACTATAACTATTTAAGGGTCACTGTCTATTAGGTTTCCTCAAAGTGTGGTTTGCCACCTCTTTGGGTGTGTACTATGTGTACTGTATTCTTGAAACTACTTGATATTTTTTTTTTTTATTTCTGATACTTGAAAACATTTTGTTGACATGTTAATTATATAAAAGCAACCAAAACCCAGAATCTATACTGTTAATTTGCAGTCTCACAGGTAGAATTTTTGAAATATTTTCTCTTTCCAAAAGTTTTTTTTTTTTTTTTTTAATTTGTGTGTATGTGTATGTGGGCATGTGTCCATATGTACCATGTGCCTGCAGAACCAGAACCCTATAGAGGTCAGAAGGGAGTGAACTTATTATCTGTCATGCTTCGTTTCCATCCCTTATTCCTAGGCACCCACTGCATATGCTTTTTCTATAGGCTTACCTAGTCTGGACATACTTAAATATTGAAACACCACAAGCTCTGGTTGTTAATGTCTTTGCTTAAACTTAGGTTTCTAGTTTTATTATTATTACTATAATATGTTAGAATCTAACTCTATGGCTGAACAGTATTCCATGGATATACCATATTTTTTTTTTTTAATCTATTACTCAACTGATGAGCTTATGGTTTGCTTTTCTCCTTTGGTTTTCTTAAGAAACCCTTCTACTGTTATCCGTATCCAAGTTTTTTTTTTCTTTTTTTTGGTTTTTCGAGACAGGGTTTCTCGGTGTAGCTTTGCGCCTTTCCTGGATCTCGCTCTGTAGACCAGGCTGGCCTCGAACTTACAAAGATCCGCCTGCCTCTGCCTCCCGAGTGCTGGGATTAAAGGCATGCGCCACCACCGCCCGGCCCGTATCCAAGTTTTTATGTGACCGTGTTTTCGTTTTGTTTGTGCCATTGAATGGGATTGTTGTCATGACAACTTTTTTTTTTTTTTTTGAGACAGGGTTTCTCTGTGTAGCTTTGCGCCTTTCCTGGAACTCACTCTGTAGCCCAGGCTGGCCTCACTCACAGAGAACCTCCTGGCTCTGCCTCCCGAGTGCTGGGATTAAAGGCGTGCGCCACCACCACCACCACCACCGGGCCATGACAACTTTTTAAACAGTAATTTCTGTGAGCAGTGGTCCATGAAACCTAGAGTTTATTCTGGATTTGGCCCTTGACCAGGACCTCATTCATGCTGGACAGTGCTCTGCCAGTGAGCTGTTTGAAGCTTTGAAAATAAAAGATAACCACTGTGCTAAGAGTAGCCTTTTCTACATTTCAGAACTTGGGTAATTAATTTTATCAGCTACTGTTACTATGTTTCCTAGGAAATTATGTATTATAAGTTTTTATGCTCTTTAAGGAAACACTTTGGGTCAAGGCTCACTATATATCCCTGGTTGGCCTGGAACTCATAGAGACCAGGCTGACCTCTAACTTACCAATCCACCTGCATTTGTTTCCAGACTGCTGGGATTACAGAATTGCTCCACCATACCTGCTGTGATACTATTTTTGTGTAGTTAGTAGTAGTGGGTTTTTTAAACAGTATTAACTGAGTTGATTATACACTGTGGACATTTCGTGTCATTCCAGTTAAAAATAAGTTTTGTTATTTCTCTTTGTTACTGTTTGTAAATTTTTAATCAAGATGAAATCTCGTGGACTTGAAGAGATTCCAGTTTTTGATATTTCTGAGAAAGCAGTAAATGGAGTAGAAAGCAAGCCCCTCTCAACTGACGAAGAAAGGCTTGCCTCAGGTATGCTAGCCACGCATAATAGTTTTTTTTGGAAGACAAACTTTCTTGAAAAAAACTTAACTTTCTTCACACTTTTACAGTAAAGAAAAATTTTAATGTTTATTTTTAGTATATACACGTTTTGCCTTGCATGTATTTATATGCTTTGGATCCCCTGGAACTAGAATTAGAGACAATTGTAATTTGCCATGTGGATGCAGGAAGAATACTGGTCCTCTGGAAGAACAGGCTTTTAAGCTCTGAGACATCTCTTCAGCCCAATACTTTGTTTTACTTTGACTACGATTGTTAATTCACCAAATTGTGCCTTATCCCCCCATTCTAAGTACATGGGGGAAAACCCTATTTAATTTTAGTGTGTCTAGTTGGTTTTCTCTAATTATTGTGTCAGTTTTCTAGTCCATCTAGATGTAGATAAGGATGTTGAAATTTTGTTCAGTTATATCATGTACAGAATAATACGATGTGGTAGATTTTTTTCTGGAATTTTGTTTTCTTGAGCAAGTGTACCTTAGCCTATTTTCTCTCCTTTTCATTTTGATTGGAGATACATACAGATTATTTTTTAAAAACTGGTGGCAATTTAATGTGGCATTTTGTTTTTCTCCTAGATTTGATTGATCCTGTAACCGTGGATACCCCATTGTCTAAAAATCTGGTGGCACAAATTAGTGCTCTTGCTCTTCAACTGGATTCAGAAGATCTGTACAGTTACTCTGGAAGCCAGCTATTTGAAATGCATGAGAAACTTGGTACCATGGCAAACTCTATAATAAGAAATCTACAGTCACGTTGGAGATCACCAGTCCATGAAAATTCTTAGTATTTTAAGAGAAATGTAAAGTTTTTTCACCACCAGATTTTATTTTTTGGCTTTTAGAAATACCTGCACTGCACCATTTAAAGAGGAAACTTTGAAGAGTTGATAAGATATCAAATCCTGAAAGACAATGAATTATTAGATCAGTTTTATAAATTCATTAGTAAAGATATTCCCTACTGTATTTTCTTGGCCAGTATACATAGTTTTTTTAAGAAATTTAAATGTTACTGAAACTTGAAAGCAAATGAGATATACATACTTTTTTTTTTCATACTTTAACTCATGCATATTTTGGTGTAGCTCATAATACAAATATTTTAAGTAAGATAGAAAAGTTTTATTTACACTTGAACTGATAAAGGTGTTTATACTTTTTCAAAATATTTATATTTGTTGTGCTTGGTGAAACACCTGTACTGAGATGCAAAGGAATGAGAGCATTTCTTTCAGGTAATACCTGTAGAAAACCTTTGAGAGAAATACCAAGTTTCAATTTGTTGTGAGTTAAAATTAATGCTTAATTGCTAACATTCCATTCATTTGGCATTGGCAAATATTTGTGCAGCAGCATTTGCCTGTGAAAATGTGCTCTTATGAGGTATAGTGTTCACTCTTACATGCATGACTGTTTGTACATTATGTATAAAAGACAGTGGTTTTTTTAATTTATAAAGTTCAGCCTTCATTAATTGCACGAGTTTCTGCAGCTTCATGTGAATACCATTGTTTTGTTTAATAGAAACTTTTGTATATATTTAATATCAAAATATCCATATGGATATTAAAAATACTTCATGACGTACTGTGGATATTTGTAGGAGTCTGTATCTACAAATAAAGCAACAGATAGTTTTGTATTTAGTTAAAACATGAGTTTATTTTCTAAAGTGTCCAGAATACTTAAAATTATTAGAACCAAAAAATATTACATGCCACTACTTTTTTTTTTTTTTTTTCTTTTTCTTTTGGTTTTGGAAGAGGATCCCAAGCCACTAGAAAATGTGCCTATGTTTCTTCTTAATGGAGAGTTAGCCTGGATATTTTCATTGCAGATTGTACTATAAGACATAGAGATACCTGGTTTAATCACATATGTTGAAAACTAAACTTGGAAGAAATTTGAAATTGCCCTTTTTATATGTATGTTTTGTCTAGTTAAAAAAAAATAGGATATATAATTAAACCGTTTGTAAATTTTACCAAATAGTTAGTGCCTAACTTCATATATTTGTTTCATCTGTGGGTTGTGGTTTTTGTTTTTTGTTTTTGTTTGTTTGTTTTTTGGAGATATGGTCTCTGTGTAGCCCAGGCTAGCCTTGAACTTCTATGGTCCTCCTGCCTCTGCCTCCAGAGTTCTGGGATTACAGGTGTTTGTTACCATGCCTGGCTGTATTGTATGTTTTCCCAAAGGATATATCTTGCTTGTGGTTTTTTTTTTTTTTTTTTTAATAAAATCAATGGGTGATCTTAGTTTCAAATTCAGTTCAATCTCTGCTTAGACATTCCAACTGTTTGTAGTTTAAGGTTTGGACCTTTTTTTTTTTTTTTTTTTAAGCAGAGACACCCTCCCCTGCTGCCCCGAGTAAATAAAGTTGGTATCATTTTTCATTCATAAGTAACTACAGATATTTTTAGATCTAAGTATATTTACCTACAAAGATCATCTTAAGAATTCTGGAACTGTTGGACTCTTAAGGACTTAGAAGTCAATAACTAATGAGGAAAAGACTGTCTTTTAAAAACATTGATAATGGTGGATTGCATTGTCAGTCGCTACATTAAGCATTAAGAGGTGTGCATGAACATTCAGTGAGTAGTATCGATTAGCCAGGAGTTTGTGGGGAGTGGGTGGAGTGCTCATTTCACAAGCTGCATTCCTTAACCCTTGTCTACTCACTCGTAGGCACAGCAGAGTTCTTAGGGAAGCTCAAAGTGTAGCAGGAAATGTGACCAAAATGATGATTTGCTGAAGTTTCTGAATTTAATAAAAGTGCAGATCTGAGTTAAGTTGTAGTTCAAGGAAATTGTGTTTTAAAATATTGGTTGGTACCATTGGTCAGTTTATGGAAAATATAATGTTGAGTCAGTTTACTTTCAGTATTCTTGGCTTAACTTTTTTTGAGCAGATTTCCACATTAATTCCTAAAATAGCAAAAAGCATTAATATTTCTGAATTGACTCCAATGTATTGCTTCACTTTTACATGAAACCCCTTCTTCAGACTTTTTCTAATGTTTAATTTAAAAAAACAAGCAAATATTGACATTCCAGTGTGATGCCCTAATTGTTTTATGTATTGAAACAAATCAAGAGCTGGTTAGGTGGCCCAGAAGATACAATGTGCTTTCCACCAAATCTGATTATGACTTGAGTTTAAGCCCTGAGATCCACATGGTAGGAGAGTGGTCCTTTGACCTCTATATGTGCAGTGCACACATGTGCACACATACAAATAAAATTAATTTTAAAAATTTCTTATTTCCTGTGCATAAGTGTTTTGCCTGCATGTGTATATATGTACTATGTACATACCTGGTGCCCATGACAGCCAGAAGAAGGCATCTGATCCCTGGGAAAACCAGAGTTATTATAGACAGGTGTGAGCTAGCCTGTGGGTCCTGGGAATCAAACCCATGTCTTCTGAAAGGGCAGCAAATGCTGTTGTTAACTGCTGAACCATCTTAATTTTTTAAAAGAAGCAAGTGGTATGAAAAGCATCTAATTTTTCATGTCTGAACATAGTGGATTTTGATGTTCAAACTGAGTTTATTACTGAAGATGTTGCTCTGTTTCAGCAAGTTAAACTACTGCTGAATACTGCAGGGTCTTTGCATTTCAAATAGTGAGCAATGAGCTCACTTAATCAGGTTAATACAGTTTTTAAATAGAATTTAAATCCAAAGATTAAAAGCACAGTTGTTGAATAAGAGACATTGCCTTTGTATTCTTGTTTTTTCAGTACAACTTGAAAGTAGCTAAGAATCCACTTACATATTTAAGGGTCATTAGAATGTCAATAATTTAAAATGTTAATAGGTGGACACTGGACGTGGTGGCTTGTGCCTGTAATTGCAATACTTGGGAGGCTGAGGCAGATAATTGCTTTGTGCTAAGTCCAACCTGGTGTACAGAATAAAAACCTGTTTTAAAACCCATAAAACTGGGGGAAATTAGGGTCTTAAAATATATAAATCAAGGTTATGTTTTATAAATATTAATTGGAGGATTTTATTTGGTTTAAGGTAAGAATTTGAAAATAAAATGCTGGTTCTGAAGTCAGTGGAAGTATTAGATAACACTGCCCCTTACTGGCCTTGCTTTCAGCTTTGACTAAGGCTCGGGGTTCATTTCATTATTAAGGTTGACTTGAGCCAGTTGGTCAGCCATGTCAGCAGGCTATAGAACTGCAATTGTGGGCATTTTGGGGGTGACACTTGATTGGGGGCAGAAGCCTGCATTTATTATCATAACTAATTTAGGCTGGCCTGGAACTCCCTTTGTAGACCAATTAGTCTCAAACCCATAGCAACACTTCCTTTAGCCTCCCAAATGTTTTGATTATAGGCATGTTAATTGATTTTGCAGTTTTTGATCACTCAGTTAATGGTTCTCTCTGTTATGTTCCTGGCTTTATATTTGCTCTTTGGAAGCATCCATTAAAGTCCATGTCTTTCAAATTTCAGATCTGTAGTTATTTTGTTAAAGTGCTCCCTACAGAATCTATGTGAGTCCACTGAGTTCTTGGAATAGATGGGAAATGGTACAATTTTGTTACATTTTTTTCTATATATACTAAAATCTTTCTTCAATTAAATGCTGACATAACCTATGTTGTAGATGTTTACATTCCTGGAAAGTACCTGTGGTATAAAATATAAGGCCTTAATGTGATTTGAAAATTCAGGCGACATTTTAAACTGCTGCTGTCAAAAAGAACAGCCTCTCCCACGGAACTTTTATGCTTCAGTTGTAGCAGAAGAAATGTTTTCTTTGCTGGTTTACAATTGAGTATAAAACCAACTTTTAAACATCAAATATATGCTTACTAATTCACAGGAAGTGATGCAGTGAGGAGAGGAAAACAGGTGAATTTGTTTTTGAGATAGTTTTACTTCAGTGCCAGGGCTGGCCTCAAACTCAGGGCAATCCTCCTACCTCAACCAAAAAAACCATTTGAGACAGTGTTTTGTTGTAGACTTGGCTCCTTAGGTAGACCACACTGGCCTCCCAACTTCTCAGTGTAGGCTTTAACTGTGTATCACCATACTCAGCCAAAAGTTTGATGATAGAGCCATTTGGTGTAAGGACAAACAGTCCTGTATTTTGAAAATAGCCATTGGTTCCCGAGAGCTTTTCTATCATAAAACAGTACTGGAGTTGGTTTGCACGAGCAGCATGAGTGACTATATTTTAAAATACATAATCAAGGGTATGTGGTGGCTTGTGTCTATAATTTTAGCCTTGGAAGGAAGAGATGGGAGGAGCGAGAGTTCAAGGCTCCGAAAGACCCTGTTTTCACCAAATGTTAACAGAACATTCATTCAGTACTTTGCCTACACTCCCAGCTGTAAAGGTCTGCTAAAAGGAAGCCTTGGTTCTTAAAAGATACATTCCTAGGATGTTCAATATAATGTCATGAAACAAATAGATCATTAAAATTACCTCTGTGAATAATTGAATAAGAAGTATCTAAAACATTTTCTTTATAGACTAAGGATTCTCTAAGAAACGAATTGATAGAAACCAAAGTACAGCAGGGTATTCTAGTCATGGCACAGAGCAAACTGTCTTCCCTCCAGTTTTTGTTTTTGTTTTTAACTATTTTTGTATGTTGGTGTTTTGCCTGCATTTATGTCTGTGCACCATATGCATGTAGTATCTCCAGAGGCCAGAAGAGGGGCCATCAGATCTTCTAGATGGTTCTGAGCTGCCATGTGGGTGCTGGAAATTGAACCTGGATCCTCTAGAAGAGTAGCCAGTGCTCTTAGCCACTGAGCCATCTTCCCAGCCCCACTTCCTGTTCTTTGTTTTAAAATCATTGAGAAGAATTTTTTTCAAAAATTCTTTGAAGCAGATGAAAAATAGGACATCCTATCTTATCCAGAAATAGTTGTGTTGTGGCAGTCAGTCTGTGTTTGGCTGCTTTCCTATTTTGATGACTGTTAATTTATCTGAGACAGGCCTACATACAATCCTCAAATATTTGCCTATTTTTGGTTTTTTGGCTTTTCGAGACAGTTTCTCTTAACAGCCCTGGCTTGGACCCACCTTTGTAGATTTTGTAGACCAGTCTGGCCTTGAATTCACTCCTCTGCCTCTCGGAGTGCTGGGATTAAAGGTGTGCACCCCCACTGCATGGCAGTGTTTGCCTCTTCATTTAAGACTTTGTCAGTCCTTGTTACAGAGAACAGTTTTATTCATATTTGTTATGTGGTCAGTTTGGACAACTTTTCTATGAACCACCATAGTTTTCATTTCTAAGAGTCTGATTGCGATTGCTTTACTGCTGTTCATAGTATACTCATGTACTATGAAACAACTAGTTCCTCAGTATACTCTTCTCGAGTTCTGAGTACACTGTTCTTGAACTATTAAGCATGTCATGTGCTTGCCCTGCTATCAGGGAGCTTTGGTCCGAGGGAGGAGCAGGTGGCACTAATAAGTTCTACCTATGAAATAATGTGGGATTTGGCAGCTTGCTTCCAGTGTTGGTTATGTTAGCAGTTGCTTTCAGTCCATTGTAAACACTCTTTTTGTGGATAGCCCTAACAGAATTCAAACCAGTCAGTTGTTGATATTTTGCTGCCCTTGGTGAAAGTTCAGTTTTACATTCAAAGTATATTTGATGAGTTTTTCTAATTTTAAATTAAAATTTAACAAATACCTATTAATTCCATTTTTAGCTACACTAGCAGATGAGAAATAAGGGCACTATTCTGTGAGGTTGGGGTGTTATTAACAGTCTTGGAAGTAGCAGGCCTGCTTACTTGTTGAGTCTTTGTTTCATGTAGTAAAACTTCTCATGAGTCATTGAGAGTTGGCTGTAATATTTTGCCATTTGAGACTGGCTATTAAAATGTACTTTTATTTAAAATAAAAGTATAAAATAATTTCTAGTGTTTACTTTTGTTTCTTGATTTAACATCTGTGGTTTGAGATCTGAGTAAGGATAATACGATCCTCTCTTGCCCCTCCCCCATTTCTCAGGATTGCCTTAATAAAGTTTCTGGTTTATTCTGTTTCGTGGGTTCCATGAACTTCTAAATCTGTAGTTATTAAATAGTGAGAGAAGATGTTGTGTAATACTGCATTCATTAATGTGCCAGTTAGTTTGGACACTGGTAAAATACTCATATCCGTTTGGCCTGCAGGCAAGTCAGTGGGGGCATTTTCTTGGTTAATGATTGAGGTGGGAGGCCCAGCCTACTTTGGGTTTTACCACCCTTGGGCACGTGGTCCCTGGTCACATGCAAGACAGGCAGATCAAACTATGAGGAGCAGGCCAATAAGTAGAGTTCTTCATGGTGGTCTCTGCTCCAGTTCCTGCTTTCAAGTTCTGCTTTGCTTGAGTTCCTCCCTTGGTTTTCTTCAGTGATGGCTGAAGAAAACTGATCACGGCATGTGTATCAGTTACTTTTCTGTTGCTATGATATGATAAAATATTATAACCAAGGCAACTTAAAGAGGCTTAAGTGGAGTTTACAATTGTAGAGGCATTGATGTCCATCACCATCATCGTGGAGAACATAGCGGCAAGCAGGCAGGTTGAGAACTCACCTCCTGATCCATAAACAGGAAGCAAAGTGCACTGGTGTTGCTCGAATCCTAAATGGTCTTATAATAAAAACCCAGAGTCAGAAAGCAGGGTGAAAGTTGAAAGATCTGAGAAGCAGGCAGAGCAAGCCACAGCCACCACCTCTCACCTCATCAACTCCTCAGCCTGCAAGAGCCTCGGCAAGAGAGTTAGTTCCTGTCTCAACTTTCCTAGTGCTGGGATTAAAGGTGTGTGCCACTACTACCTGGCTCAGCTCTTTTTTTAGACTAGATTAGTCTGTATCCCAGTGTGTCCTTGAATTTATAGAGATGATGGATCTCTGCCTCCTGAGTGCTAGGATTAAAGGTGTGTGCCACCACTGCCTGACCTTGGCTGGCTCTGTCCTCTGATCTTCAGGCAAGCTTTATTTCTTAGATTACAAATATATCATCACACACAGAGAATGGAGGGAGGTCTTTGAAACCTTAGGCCAGCATCTAGTGACACACCTCCAATAAGACAAGTCCTAATCCTTACCAACAGCTGCCAGACTATTCAAACACCCAAGCTTTATTGGGAACATCTTATTCAAACCATCATTGTATATAAGCCAAATAAATCCTTTCCTTCCCAAGTTGTTTGTAGTCATGTGTTTATCACAACAATAAGAAATCTGACTAGTACAGAAATTGGTAGCAGGAGCTTGGGGTATTTCTGTAACAGACCTGGATATGTTTCCCCATAGGGGAGATTATTGAAGTGTTTGGAACTGTTCAATAGGAAAGCCATTGAGTATTCAAAGCTGTTCTGTGGCCACTTGGGAGGTAGGAATGTTAATAGAAATGCAAACGACGGAAGCCCTGTTTGTGAAGTTTCAGGGAAGTTTGAGTCCCTCAAATTACTCATTTGAGTGGTATTTTAAGAATCTGGTTTCTGGTTAGGTAGGACTGAAGGATCAGCTGTGCTTAACTAGAGACCAGCACCACTGAGGTGAAACCTTGGTTTTACAGAGATCGTTGATGTTGGTTAGCTGGAGTTGAGAAACAGTTAAGAAAAGACCAGCATCATTGAGGGAAGTATTTTCTCAGGTTCAGCGCCTAGAAGCTGTGGTCCTTAGGGCTCCAGGGAGGCAGCTGGCAGAGGGAGGAGAGCTGGCAGCTCAGTAATGTGTAAGTCTCCCACAAGGTACGAGTTTTGGCAGAGTGAAAGCTACAAGGTTGAAGGGGTCATAGAAGCTGAGGCTTGGTATCATGTAGCGGGGATGGATTCCCTACAGTGAGGCCCAGAAGCCATTTGTGAAGGTGCAGCCTCAGGGGTAGTGCAGACCCCAAGTTTGAAGAGAGAGAGAGAAAAAAAATAAATTGGACTGAGTGAGCCATGAGGAGGAAGCCAAGCAAGCAGCATCCCACCATGGCCTATTTCGTTTTTTGCCTCCTCCTGCCCTGAGTTTATGCGTTGGCTTCCCCAAGTTGCTGTGGTCACAGCATTATTACAGTAGAAAGCAAACTTGGACTCTGCTTGGAGTCTGTCTCAAAAGTGTGAGTTTGGGTGCTTTCAAGAACTGAGGACAAAGTTCCTGTGCCTCTGTCCTGGTCACATCCTGGCAGATAAGGGTATTTTTGTCTTACAGAGCATCTCTCAAATCTGTCAGTCTTCATAGTTCTCCGTATGCCCTTTGTTCAAATTTACTTTTCCTTGAAAGGACAGCAGGCCTATTTGGCTAATCTTATCTAAACATGAATAGGGCAGGGTGAGACATGATACAGTGCCAACACATTGGGCATGAGTGTTAACTCTGATCATTTTTTCCCTTTTATTACAATTTCAAGGTGGAATAAATAGCCTGGTAGTCTCGCTTGTGGTCATGGAGATCCACAGTATCCAGTATTACACTGGTAAAAATAGCACAAGCAGATGGTGGGGGTGGG